ATAGGATAAAGGCGAGACAGCTTGAGAGACATAAGGTATTTCCCTTGTTTCCAAAGAAAAAAAGAGACAATTTTTTTATTCTGGAATTAATTCATTCCAATATTTATCTGCTAGTTCTGCGTGGATGTTGTTAGTCACACTGGTGATTTGACTACTTCCAACACAACAAAACACAACACAATGTAACGGACAGCATGCTGCAGTAAAATAACATCGGTTATATTCTGAGATAATACAACTTGAGGTAATCAATTTTTAAGCGTTTGTGTGCCAGAATGTATCACGTGATTTCACTCAATACCTGTTGAATATGGAAGCCGTTACTTTGAATAAGAACGTCAGTTGAAAGCGGAAGTCACGTAGAAAATCCTCCAAGAAAACTATTATCATGACTACTGCGACGTTTCATATAAAAGTTTCAGAATATTTTCATTGACTCTTTTATAAAGTAACATTCTTTTGGCTACGCATACATTCTAAATTAAAAATTCACAGACAATTTCGTGTTGTAAGTTACTACCAATACTCGAAAACTCCTATACATGAGTTAGTAACTGTTTTATAAATAATTGGAGATTATAATATTTTGCTCTTTTCCGGTGACTCAAGTGTAATTTATGAGTACGAACATTTTCCTTAATCATGAGGAACTTCAAAAATAGTTATTATATCCTACGTGAACAGAAAGCAAATAGGATGGAAGCAGACATTACCATGAGCTGCACATTGAAAACAGGCACTTTAATTTGTGGTCTCAATTTCTAGATTATGGGAAATAATTTTTTCAGCTTCAAATTAATTATTGTTTTTATTCAACGTAAGTTTCTGGCGATAACAATATATTCGTTAAGAAACTGGTGGGGGTGCCCCGGCGCTAGTATAAGAATTATTGGCAGAAAAGGAAGTCAATCAGAGATCAGATTCGCATGCGCAACAGCGGGGTTTATTTTCAAAGTTGACAGTTTCCGTTTACAATAATGTTAATTCATAATGTCTTATGCAATGTCGCAGTCGTCAATACCTCGTTGTAACAGAACGTCACGTTTAGCCAACTATAAAAATATATTAATATTTAAAATCCGGAGGCATCTAAATTGTAAAATTTAAACGCCAGTTCTTCTACATAGTTTATGTGGCTTTAATATTAAAGCTTTTTTTTCTGGCACTACAGCCCCAATGGGCCTTCTCTTTTTCTAGATCTTACACAGACGGTAGGACTCCTTGGGCGAGTGATTAGCTCGTCGCAAGGCCTCTACCTGTAGACAAACACAGAAAAAAAGCACACAAACATCCATACTCTGAGTGGGATTCGAACCTACGATCCCGGCTTCCGAGCGGGCGAAGACAGTGCATGCCTTAGACCGCTCGGCTACCGTGACCGGCATTACAGTCTGTTACTCAAATAAAAACAAATTTCAAAGCGTGATCTTATAAGTGCACGGACTTGATTCATATGAGTCCCGGTCAATATTTGTCGAAACAGAACCTGTGAAAACTATTGTGTTCTGTACTTACACGACTGAAACTGTATTTCCCTCAAAGGTCTTCAGCACATCCATACGTGTTCTTCTGTTATACTTCTCAGAACTCAATATTTGACAATGCCAGCAGCTGGTCCGATACATTGTGTTGCATTATTACATATCATAAAACCCTGTGCTTTTCAAGACTTCGTAAATTTTAGGGAAAAGGAAAAGTTCACAGAGAACAAAAAATGACGAAAGAAGAAGTGACGGTCACGGTAACCGAGCGGTCAAAAGCATGCATTCTCTTCGCTCGCTCTGAAGCCAGAATCGTGGGTTCAAATCCCACACAAGCCATGGATTTTTGGTATGTGTATGTGTTTATTCTGTGTCTGTGTTTAGGTAGAGGCCTTGCGACGAGCTGATAACTCATCCAAGGAGTCCTACCGTCTGTTAATGATCATGAAACTGAGAATCAGAGGCCAGGGCCAAAGCGGGCTGTAGAGCAAGTAAAAAAAAGGGGGGGGGTAATGAACCTTGGGAGTACAGACTTTAAATTAGGCTGAGTTGGCAGATGTGTTGTCATGGTAAATTTGTCACTCGCTGGATTTCCTTTTTTTTTTTTTGTTTCAGTTCATGTGAATATTTCTTAACTTACTCTGTAATGTTCGTATTAACTTTTCACCGACGCTTAAGTTTCCCTACTGTAATCCTCCCTCCATGACTTCAGACTGAAACTGAGGATGCATTTCTCATTTTCCCTCAACCTACAGAAACTTCGTGTTATATAGTTACGACATATTGCACGAGTTAACCCTCAAATTGATAGGCCTACGTATTCATACACCATACAATTTCACATACTATACATTGCATAATGCTCTTCAATCGATTCTTTTGTTCGTTTGTATCGCTACGTGGAAAGTGTTATTATCGTGTCGTTATGTTGATGACTGCAACAATATTGTATGCGATACCTTTGGGAATGTACGTGTAATATTCCTTATATATTATGTAAATCTATGCTCGAGTTCCCAAATGAAAACTGTACGTTATTACAGTGCATTACAAGGACACACAAATTTCTATGTATGGACTAATGAAAACAATCGGTCAAGCTAAAAAGTAATCTTTACGAAATTCCGCAAATCACACGTTTTCAGTTGAAACAGAGAAGATGCTTTTAACAGGTTGAGGAAGAGGTAAAAAAGGTAAAGCTATCTCTATAAAAGGCTGTGGAGGCCCATAGGCTTGTGAGATGTCAAGGCTTCCACATTTTCTAGACAATGGGCTCAAATATGGGGGTCAGATTGTCAGACTTACGCGCCGGCCGTCCTTTAATCCCAGGAAGATTCCTGGTACTTATTTCTCTTAGAGGATGAGTCGACCCCAGGGTCATAGTTCGGTTCGAAGGATTAGGTCAGTTGACAAATTTAATGACCTCATTATCGAATCGAACCCGCGATCTTCCCCCTTGTAGCATAGTACCTGAACCATGTTACCGCTTGCCCCAGGTTTGGGGAAAGATGCTCATTTTAAAAGGCCTCATGTTTGAGTGCCATATAAGAGGAGTACATAATGCAAAATTAAATAAGGTGTTGTTACGCCAAGAAACATGACAGGGAACATGAATTTATAATGTTGTAGCGTGCAGAGCCGTTGCTATGAAACGACCGCGAGATGGACAGCTTGGCAACGGATCGGCAAACACCTTCCCGCTGCAATGAATACAGACGCAACAACAGATGAACCGTTGGACGTGGTGTTCTTAATGCGGTCCGTGTCGTTCCAAATAATCAACACGCAGCGAAATGAAAGAAGGAAATTAGTTTTTCCCAGAACATCCGGATTTTTCTTGTTAAACGAGTGTCAAATAATTTTCTTTCAACAATGAATTTAAAAATGACTCAACATTAACAAGAAGACTGAAGTTGTCTCTAGAATTATATTATAATTAAAAGAATGGCAGATCAAATCTGCAGGATGCAGGCACTACATTCGAAGAAGTCTGACAAAAAATCAAGCGGGGTTCCTAGGTTAACTTGCAACTGTCTCGTAAGTTAAAAATTGAACCTCTGAATGTAACCCAAGATTGGCTGTGTAAAAGGAAGTCACCATGAACGAATAACGTTTTACCGAAATGATGTATGATTCCTGTGTTGTCAAGATTGTCTCTTGTACTTCCTGGTTGGTTTAGCGCCTCTTTATTAATTCACTGTACTCGTAAGGATACAGTACTTACTTACTTACGCAAGGAAGCGGCCTCCGTACTCTAGAGGTAACGTTGCCACCTCATGACTCGTGGTACGCGGGTTCAAACCCGGCGGAGGTCGTGGATTTTTTAAGGGCGGAAAAATTCAGGGAACAAGTAGTCCGGGAGGGACTTTAAGCCGTGGGTCCCGTGTCGTAGCTTTACGGCACGTAAAAGAACCTCATATCTCCAAAGGGGTCACTGAGCTAAATTCAAGGACATTTCCCGCCCAACAGTAGTCTCTAACGCCTCTGATAGATGGGGCAAGCATTATAGATACCGCTAAGCCAGTANACCTATATGAATTCCTCGTCTTCCCCATTCGTGCTACATGCCCTGCCCACCTCATCCTCTTTGACTTGATCATTGTAATTATACTTTGAGAAGAGTACGACTTATGAAGGTCCTCATTGTGCAGTTTTCTCCAGCCTCCTGTCACTTCATCTCCCTTTGGTCCAAATATTCTCCTCAACACCCTGTTCTCAAACACCCTCAGTCTATGTTCCTCCCTTAATGTCAGAGACCAAGTTTCACACCCATACAGAACCACAGGCAAAATTATAGTTTTTATATTTTAATTTTTATGTTTAGGTTTAAAAATTATGCCACATAATATGAATAATAAATTTAGAAAAATATATAAAAAATTAAGTTATGAGTAGAACGAATTGCCTACTTTCCTATGATGCGATACGGATCACATAGAAAGCAAAATGAAAATAGGGGGAACGTAGACATGCAGAGTAAACTTATAAAGCTCCTATCAAAAATTAGTGGGGATACACAGATAAACAGAAGCCTCAAAGTCCCAAACAATTAGGGGGGGGAGAGGATTGAACAGACAAATGGACGGATATACAGACCGACAGCAAGGCAATATCATAAGCCTCCTTTTATTTTTGAAATAAAAAAATAGACCGAAAACAATTGTGGTCTGCTTCATAGTTCTGGCCCAGTAGTGTGGTCTTTGTAGAACCAGTGTAAATTGAACAAGCGTTCTCAACAATATATCATGTCTCCTCATTCATATTCAAATCGAATATCTTCTAAATACAACATAACGTGGCTTAATAACTTTATAGATCTCAACGGTAACAATTAGAATAACACCTTCACAAGTTAAACTGCTATATATGTTCAGAAAATGAAGACAGTCATTCATTTCCTGTGCGAAGAAATAGCGTGACGCTGTAACAGAGTCACATGGAACGAGTCGGTTTCGAGAGTCCTTTCTATTGTTTCCTTTTTAAGGTTTGTAATCGAAGGCTATATAAGCTATTGCGAGAGAACGTTGAGTATATTTCTACAAGGAACTAAACAAGAGGACGGTTGTGTAAGACATAACTTTGCTGCAAGTAGTGTTACCCACGTGATCGTCATGCATATCTCTTCGTTAGAAAAGCCTGATAAATCCATAAACGGAAAGCCACAGTCTAAATACAAGAGAGAGATTGTCTGGAGAAATGTATTCGCCCATCTGATGATTCATCTTATGGGACTATACGGATTGTATGTTTTTATTGTATCTGCAAAAATCCTTACTTGTGCATATGGTGAGTTTATATGAAATGTTTATATATATTCACTTACAGTTAGCGTATTTAAAGGCGCTGTTTCAGGTGAAGGAATTATGTAATCAATATTATATTTAAGCATCCTGTTACACTCACACAATATATGAGACAAACACCGTCTTAAGTGCAACAATTTAATTGTAGTTCTTCCTCCTTTCCTTCCTCCACACAACATGTTACACGTATTAAAGATAGACAGCGGCACACGCACAGAGAGCCTACACAGAACAATACCTGAACAGCGATAAAACAAGAAGTGGCCGCTGCAGCACTACAGACATAGGGTGAGTACCCCGAGAAATTTTAATTTTTAAAATTTGGAAAAGAACGGAAAATTTAAAGACATTTTAATTTGAAATTGAATTTCTAAAAAGTGCCAATTTTGGAAATCAAATTGACGTATGTAGGTTAACAAAGATTTTATACATACATACAATTGAAAAGGCTGGTGTTTTAAATTTTAAACTACGGGCAGTGTAGCAGCTACGTAAGAATATACACCTGATGATGGCCATTTAGGGCCGAAACATGTAGTGTGGAGGAAGGAAAGAAGGAAGAACTACAATTAAATTGTTGCACTTAAGACGGAGTTTGTCTCATATATTATTATATAATGTATAACAAAGCGGGAAAGCGGCTCCCGAATGTTTAGGGATGAGTATCAGGAAGGAGTAGTTTGTTCTTTTGAATGTAGACCAAATATTAACCAACTGACTTGAGAAAATTAGGAAAAGCTCGAAAAACTCCAAGTAGAGCAATTGCAGAAAGTTAAAGGGAATGCGAGTGAACACGTTTACCTTCATATTAATCCGCTACAAATATTTATCTGTACAGTGCAATGTCAGAGTGACTCTATAATTACTCTGACGGAGTTGTGTTTTGCGTTCCTAAGGCGTTAAACATAAATTAAGCCCATTGAGTGGACGTTCCGAATGGATTACCAGTGATAAGTTCCAATTTCAGTCCATCTCCATAAAGACCGTGAATTCACTATCAAATAAAATTATAATAATAAATTATCTATTCATTTTACGTAGAATAAATCTAAATTATTTCATTGTCCTTAGTCTGGAAAGTAATGCCTTTAAACGAGGAATTTTGAACATGGACAGACATTAATTCTTTAATTCGAAATAATATCACCAAATAATAACTATATGTAGCAGTCTCCGTCTAGAGAAAGTGACTTTCACTCAGCTATAACTACATTCCTCGCATTTTGTGAATCAGTTAGGGTCTTTATCGTGTTCCAAATACCTATCATTGGGCCCCATTCTGAGGCAGCTGAAACCAGTTCACACTTTCATAAACTTCTGTTTTCAGGTTGGTTTTATATTATCCCCTGAGCAGTCCCCTTCTTTCAGCATTGCCAACCAAAATAATGTAAGTTAATGCACCGGATATCTCATTATTCCTGATTTTCAATTCAATTCAATTCAATTCTTGGTTTTATTTACGTGCTGTACTCAACAGCTGGTAGCCAATTACAGAGTCAGCACGAAGACAAGTGAACAATATACAGACAGATTGATGAAACTAGTACAAAATTTCATTGCAATATGCCTAAGTGAAAGAACACAATTGGAGATTAGAGTGTCTTAGTATAACATATGTCAAAGGTTCTACAAAAGTAAATATATTAATGATTAAGTGATAACAAGTGTCCTCTGTTATAAGAGTGGAAACGCTGAATTGTTGGCTCCGCGTTTCCTACGCAATAACCCATTGTTATAACCATGGAGACTCCTGTTAGAATTACCATGGAGCAATTGTTGTCTCCTCTGTAACGGTCTATTGTAGCGTTTCCCTAGAAGTCTCTTCCTCTGGTTTGCCGACACGTTACAATATTTATATAGATTATAAATTTTGAAACTCTTCATTATGTAGTTGAGTATACAGGGGTTTAGTTCTTTAGAAAATTAACCGAAGTAATATAGAGCCCAAAAGATAAACTGATCCCCGTGCACTATCAGCAGTCCCTGCACGAAAACTATGCATCCTGTGAGCCAGATAGGCCAGCGGAATGCACTACTAGACAGCTTAATAACGGCCCCGAAACCAGCATATCTTCCTTCTTCCCAGGGCAATGGCACCCTCTGAAGCCAACTGATTTAACTCAATATTTATATTAATTTTATATCCATAGCTACAAATTTTAATAAGCTTAGAACTTTGCAGTAGTAGTTCAACCACTTTCCTCTAAACAGTAGCAGCTGAATCGAATAAAAGGTCTCTTTCCTCTTCCGTTTACAAAACAAAAACCCGAGGATGTGGGATTCACGAGTTCAGCGTCGATTATTTCACTTACAAATAGTTAATTATATGTCTGATTTGTATGTTTCGTACTCGGAGGGTTCATGGTTCATCTCCGCATCGCAGCAGCCCATTCGTCAGGATCCGACAGGCAGAATGGTATCTTCCAGAAATTTATCCTCCTTAATAAGCAACATAAATTCACATGGCCGTGATGTGAGTGACAAATGGCTTAGTCTAAGACCCGAAAGAATATGGCTCTGTTTCAGAATGAATTGACTCTAACTGCCTATCAGGAAAGGTGAGCTATACTCACCTAAGCCGTGTAGCGCTGTCCACGTCACAATATTATACTGGTCCTGAATGGGTAGTGAGGAGAAAACTGATTTATTTGTAGTTTTTTTTTTCAGAGCCATTACCGCCATGAAGCCAATGGAATTAGGGTAAGGGGAAGATGATTAGCCATTCAGATTAGTAAATTTCTTTATTAAAATCTTTCACAATACAACAACAAAACAGTTGATGTTTAACAGTATTTTGCTATATGTTTCGACTCTTTAGAAAGCCATCATCAGGCAAATACAAAATTAACGTGTTCTTAAACTACTGGATTGCATAGTATATAATTCAGTTCAGTTTTGGATTTTCGACTATACACCATAATATAATAATATAAAACATAAAATACAATAAAAGATAAAAATTTAAAAACGATAAGTTACATAATTGAAATATAATTAAGAACTTTACGTACAATATGTCCTATTAAATATTGATTTTGATATTATAGTTGAACTCAATACTTACTATTTCGCGGGTACCTCTATTTACGTGTATTACATCCGGTCTGATAGGGGAAAAAATCATTCAGATCAGGTTTACACAAGAAGCTGGCGGTTTAAGGCGTAATTATGTAACTTAGATAACCACGCATGAAACATAGCGGCCGTCGGCATAATCATTCTTTTCTTTGGATGTAATATGGGTCGACGTCTACATAAATCAGTCGCTCATGTTCAAAATTACGAAATCTATTCTCAACAGGTATTAAGTGAAGTGCGTAATTAGAATGATCAAGTCAAGGAGGATGAGTTGGGCAGAGCATGTAGCACGAATGGGGGAGAAGGGGGGAGAAGAGGAATACATATAAGATATTGGTGGGAAAGCCAGGAGGAAAGAGACCACTGGGAAGACCGCGGCGTAGGTGGGTCGAAAATATTAAAATGGTCTTAGATAGGACGAGATGGTATGGATTGGATTAATCTGCCTCAGGATAGGGACCAGTGTAGGGCTCTTGTTAACACGGTAATAAACCTTCAGGTTCCATAAAATCCTGGAAAATTCTTGAGTAGCTGCAGAATTGGCTTATCCTCAAGAAGGTCTCAGATCCATAAGTAAGTAAGTATTAAATGAAGTCACCAAGTAACTTAACGGAATAAATCTCAGTATGTGGCCAATGAAGTGTTACTGCCAAGTTCGGGTTGTGTTTATGGTGACGTGTAACTCGGTTTCGAAGTACTTACCTGATAAACTTACTAAGAACGTCTAATTATTCACTCGCCCAAGGCGTCTGTCTAAAAAAAAAGATTACGAAACTGAAGAAAATGTCAGGGACCAATAAAGGGTTGTAGTGCCATGAATGAATGTCAAATTAATTAGATACAGGCTTTCAAGTATCAGTGGAGTACAATATTTCGACACATAAGTAAACGAAATAGGAACGAAGAGGACTGGACTCTCACCTACAGAGAAAGAAAGATGTTACATATCAACGTCCCCATTGCTGAGGGGGAATGAAAAATTACAGGCAAAACAAACAAACAAACTCCGTAGTTTTATTCCGCAAGCAAACTATACAGTCAAATTATATTTAAGGTTGATTTCAAGTGCCAGAATAACGAGCAGGATGTGCTAAGTTAGGGTTGTGGGTGACTAAATTTGTTCTATTTCTACAAAACACGTCTCATTATAAATTTGGACCTGGACTCGCACTCCGAAATTATGCAAGTCACATTTCACTGATGACGTGTATGAGATGCGGTAAGTTATAACTCATAACTGATTGCTTTTTTTTTTTTGTAACCTAATTTTCAGCCTCATACTGGAAATTTCAAATGCATAAACAAGTTTTATTCAATCCTCTAACGTATGAATAGAAGCGTCCAATATAAACAATGGATAGTATTAAAATGTAAGTTTAAATGTGTAAGATGTGAGCTGAAATCATTTGCCTCAGAATATGGTTCAACAGCGGCCTCAGTATATAAGGAAATACACGTTCTCGCTCCACAAAATGGGAAATTTCTTGACATATTATGCAAATAAGAATTAAAGAAATACCATGCACAGTGCAGGCTGGTTTATTATTTATTAATCATATATGTGAAACTCACTGTACTGGCTCAGGTTAGAGTCCAAAAGATTACTTTAATGGACGCGATTATGCACGTCCATATTACATAATAACAGGGAATATCTTGCCGTTGAATAATATTAATAAATTTCTCATCACAGGGTCTATACTCGTATTATGTTATCGGGCCTGCTGCACCGTCAGTTTTCTAACAGAAACAGTCATATGCACTTCAAATGTCTGGGAATAAATTTCCTGTCTTTCTTCAAACGACACATAAAGAGTCACAAATAACATATATTGAAGAAAGCAGTCTTCTGGGATTTGGCACCGTGTATATGTGGTGTTAACCGACGTTTCGGAGGAACGTATCGCCTCCAGACCAGTCTGCTTTTACCGGTTCTCACGGTCTCTTCGCTTGCAGATTTCTTATATTTTTCTTCTACCCTGAAGATGGAGGCGATACGTTCCTCCGAAACGTCGATTAACACCACATATACACGGTGCCAAATCCCATAAGACTGCTTTCTTCATAGTCACCGCCGTGAAAGCCTCAAATCTTACAACATATATTGATGTTGGCAGCTTTTATGATGTTAATTGGCACGGGAATGGGAGTCACAATAGGCGCTCACCGTTTCTTCACTCATCAGTCCTTCAAAGCGAATTTTCCATTCCGGTGTGTGATGGCAGCAATGTTCACCATGTCAGGAGAGGTAAGTGCACTTAGAACGCTTGGTTCCGTTCTTATTGGAGTACAAATCTCCTGATTTCAAACTTGTTTACAAAATATCTTATTACAACAAAGTTTTAATTTTTACATCCTGTTGTCTTACATATTATACAAGCGATAAAATTGTATTTTACATATTTAGAGCAAACAACATAATTTTGCGGTTTCAATTATTTCGCTTGAAAAGGACCATTTCGTGTTCAACTTATGTCGACAACTTTAACATGAGAATTGTTACTGCTGTTTTACTAAAGAAAAGCTATCCTTGTAACAAGCCGTGGAAGCCCACATGGTTATGAGACGTCGAGGCTCCCACATTTTCTAAACAATTAGCTTACAGACGGCGGCCAAGTTGTGAGCCTTAGGCGCCGGCCGCACTTTACTCGTACACCAAGAAAGATTCCTGGTACTCATTTCTGTTAGAGGTTGAGTCGACCCCAGGGCCATAGCGTGGTTGGAAGGATTAGGTCCATTGAAAAATCCAATGACCTCATCAGAAATCGAACCTGCGACCTTCTGGCTTGTAGCATAGTGCCTCAACCAACTACGCTACCGCGTGCCCCCGCTGCTTTTCCTATCCTATAGAAAAGCAGACGCAGTATTATGCGTGAAATTACGCATTTCCAATTATCTTACACGTTTGCTTTAACCCTGTGACGTTGCCGATGCATTTGCTAAACATCGGTCAGCATAATAATCCCTGTCCGTGAGTCTTCCTTCCGTTTCTTCAATGTCTGAATTCCTATTCTCCTCTCCTATATATGAGTCGGATATTTTTAAAGCCCTTAAACTTCTGAAATTTTCCAAATATTTTGGTCTTGATATCATCTCTGGCTTTAACATTAAGAGATGAGCTAATACAGCTTTTCTCAACCTGTGGTCCGCGATGATGAGACAGGTGTTCCGCAAGCAGACTTAAAATAAATCAAATTAAAAAATATCAAAACAAAACAAATTAAAATTAAATAAGCAAGTAAAAATTGTTGAAATAAAATGGATACTGAAAGAAACCAAGCTTTCTAAATTCCATGAACATTTTAATGACCAGACAAGAATCCGGTATTTCCAGGGTATGAAGGTGTGACTGCATTGTCACGAGCTTCAGAGGAGGGACACCGCCGATAATTGGTACTTGCAGAAAAACGGATAACCAAAGAGGGGTGCAGTGAACAACAATATGGTTTTACTGCTCCCGTTTTCCCTTGCCGTTTTGTTAGATTTGAAGTAAACATGTGTTATCCACATTTTAACCAGTTGCTTGTTGTCTATTATTATTTATTGCTGACAGTTTTCCTCCTTCAGCGAACGCTCAGTATATCTTCATAAGTGTTAAGTGATAGTTGGACAAAGTGTGTCCTGAGTTAACTCCGGTTTTCATATACTTTTCGGGAAAAATTAATAATGGAGAAGTGGCTTAGAACAGGGACTTTGAAAAGAAAAGCAAACGAAACAGGTGATGCTAACCCTAATTTTGATATACGTGTTGTAACGGGGAGTAAAGGTGATTCCATTGAAGCTGAAGCAGCAAGCAGTTCAAAGAAAAAATACAGCAGGAAATGTGACAGTTCATATTTGTAATTCAGGTTTACTTGGTGTGGTGACGCAAGTGAACAGAAACCTCAATGTGTTTTGTGTTATGAAGTGCTGCCGAACGAGTGCATGAAACTCCGACGACATGTAGAAACTAAATATTGTGATGTGAAAAATAAACCAATTGAATTTTTTCAGAGACACTGAAAGACATTAAATCATGGGCAAAATATAGTTTCGGTCATGGGTTCGATTAATAACAAGGCACTGGAAGCATCCTATCTCTAAAGTTCGCGAATAGCCAAAACAGGGAAGCCTCATTCTATCGGGGAAAATTTGCTTCTTTCCAGCTATAAAAGATGTAGTGAAAACGATGTTTGGCAACAAGTTACTAAAATATGTTGATTTGATTCCTCTTTCAAATGACACTGCCGGTCGCAGAATTGCTTACATGACAGGAGACCCACATCTCAGTTAAGCGAAAGAGTTAAGAAGAGCCCATATTAAGCGTAACAAATAGAAGAGACTACTGATGTTGCAAATGATGCGCAGTTAATATGCTACTTAAGATATGCGCATTATAACAACATTCATGACGATATTCTGTTTTGTAGAAGTTTGTCAATCCGAACAGGAGAATAATTATTTCACTCTCTCAATAATTACATAAGAGACAAAGGGACCCAGTGGGAAAAATATGTGGGCTTTTGTTCGGATGGAGCTCGCGCCCTTACAGGCAGGCACAGTGGGGTTGTTTCTAAGGTCAAGGCAGTAGCTCCGGATATGAATTGGGCACATTGTTTCATACATAGGGAAGAGCTGAGCTCCAAAGAATGCAACCAGAATTTAGAACTGCGCTAGACAAGGCTGCAAAGCTAGTCAATTTTTTCAAGGCTCGACCGTTAATTAACAGGTCATTTTCCGTACTCTTCGATGAAATGGGCAGTGAATATACACAAATTTTGCTTCATTCTGAAATTCGCTTGCTTTCCAGGTGCAAAGTACTAACAAGGTAATTTCAATTAAGGCACAAAGTTTTATTGTTCGTAAATGAACGCAATTCTGGTTTCGCATCACTTCTTGTTGACGAAGCATGGTTATTAGCACTATCTTATCCTTCAGACATTTTTGTAAAATTAAATGAATTACCTGTAAATCTCTCCCTTCAGAGAAATTCTTTAACTTCTTCGTGATGACTTCAACAAAATGAATGAATCCGAGAAAAAACTGGTGTTATGGATTAGTTATGTAAAAGACAGACAATTGCACCTTATCCAACATTGGAATCCTTTTTAGTGGAAAATGATATTTCTGTTGATTCTGATTCTCTGTAAAGGTTTCGTGACCACCTTAAAAGTGTGAAACAGAAATTTGAAGCATATTTTCCGAGTGACTCTTATGGGAAATTTCTGTGGGTTCGCGACGAATTTTAGGCTTGCAGTCACGAGAACAACCTTTCGTTATCGATAAAAAGGACAGTTAATTGAGCTTTCAAGTGACAGTGGGTTTAAAATGCAATTCCGTGATCTTAGTTTGGTCTGATTCTGGATCTCGCCTTCAGTGTGGAGTGTATATCTCGAATTAATTGTCAGAAGCATTGAAAACGTCATGCAGTTTCTAACAACCTATTTTTGCGAGAAAGGATTTTCATCGGTCCTTCTAATAAATCAAAATACAGAAAACATCTTAGTGTGAGTGTCGATCTTCGACAGAAGTTGACAAATATTGAGCCAGATATCCAGGAACTCTGTAAGGGCCGACAAGCTCAACAATATCATTAAAAGGAAGTTGTGACATAGTTACATCATACCCTTTATTTTCTAATAAAGATTAAAACTTTGTTCAGTGATGAACCACTTTCAATAGTTTACTTCCAATTTAATTAATTATATTTCCATATTATTCGAAACATGCTTTAAGATTCATTATATCTTAAATGGCGTAGTATGTCCCAAATGTTGGTAATACCATATAAGTTTAAAAATATAGGCCTATATAACTTAGTGGTCCGTAGAATTTTTTCACATATTTTACTGGTCCTTGGGCTTAAAAAGGTTGAGAAACACTGCTATAATTGAAGCAAGTAAGGAGGTTGGTCTAGAAGTAAAGACAGAGAAAACTGAGTATATGTTGCTGTCTCGTCACCAGAATTCAGGGTAAAATCAAGACATAAAAATATGTAACAGATGTCTCGAAACTGTGGCACAGTTCAGATATTTGGGAACGGCTGTAAGAAATTAAAACCTTATTCAGGAGGAAATTAAGAGGAAATTGAACTCGGGTAATGCTTGCTGCCTTTCAATCCAGAACCTTCTGTTTTCTCATCTGCTGTCTAAAAATAAACAAAAAAAATAATATACGAAACTATATAATTTTACCATTGGTTCTGTATGGGTGTAAAACTCTTTCGCTGACATTAAGGGAGAAACACAGAATGAGGGTGTTGAGAACATTTGGACAGAAAAGGGATGAAGTGACAGGAGGTTGGAGACAACTGCATAATGAGGAGCTTCATAACTTGTATTCTTCTCCAAGTATAATTAGAATGATCAAGTCAAGGAGGATGAGATGGGCAGAGTATGAAGTACAAAGGGGGAGAAGAGGAATGCATATAGGATATTGGTGGGAAAGCCAGAAGGAAAGAGACCACTAGGAAGACCAAGATGTAAGTGAGTGGACAATATTAAAATGGATCTCAGATAGGATGTGGTGGTATGGACTGACTTTGTCTGACTCAAGATAGGGAACAGCGGAGAGCTCTTTTAAACATAGCAATGAATTTTCGGGTTCCATAAAATGCTAGAAAATCTTGAGTAGCTTCTCAATTGACGGTTCCTCAGGAATGGCTCTGCTCCATGAGTGAGAACTGTACTGGAGTCAAATTTAGTCAAATTTATAGCGGGAGTAATTTTAACGAAACTCGGAGATATTAATTGAATTTGAAAGAATATTCTGGAGAGATGAAAGAGGTTGGTTGACTTCTATAGCTGGAAACAAAAGCCTCGATATTACGTATACATGCGACACACTATCCCTTCAAGTAGCGGCAACCGAAACTAAGGGCTGATTCGTCCTTAAATCAAGTATACTCGTTTGCACTGCTACTGGCCAAAACTAACGAATATCACGTCCATATCTGCTACCTTTCAGCTCCAGAACCTACTTGGACCGGCTAGATCCATCTGGACCTGCCTTAGAGATGACAGCAATTTCTTTATGCATAATTTCCGGCTCTGCATCCCGAAAAAGAACTCCAAGCTACTCATGCAGTTCTAGTCCAAACTAGCTTATTTCTATTGGTCCTAGACAAATTCGAATCTAAATGTTCAAATGTAATTAATTACCTAATTTATGGTGTTATGGGCATGGATGTTTAGTTTGTGTGTGCGTTTCTCTGTGTTTGTGTACAGGTAGAGGTCTTGCGACGAGCTGATCACCCGCCCAAGGAATCCTACCGAATGTGTAAGATCTAGAAAAATTGAAGGGAACGGAGAAGTTCATGGAGGTAGGCCTAGGCCCACTGGGGCTATAGTGCCAAGGGAAGAAGAAGAAAGTATAATTTTGCCTATAATTGTAGGTGACAACAGAGCACTGCTAAGTATATTAAACTCAATATTAGTAGCCGCGCTATAACTCAAAAGGTTAGTCTCTGGCTTCCCACTGCGGCCGCCCGGGTTCGATCCCGGGTCTGGTCAAGTGGGATTTGTGGTGGACAAAGTGGCGCTGGGGCAGGTCTCTCCGAGTACTTCGGTTTCCCATGCCATTCTTCATTCCACCAATTGCTCCATAATCACCCTCACCTATCATCTGGGGCTGGTAAAATAGGCCAGAAGTGGCAGCAGTAAAAAGGACTTAGTCCCAACCCACTAGCAATAAAAAACTCAGTAATAATAAAAATCAAATTACACGTACATCCATCACAAGGAAAACTAACTTACTGATCTATAAGCATAAAATTTGTCAATCCTCTGTACCCGATACCGACTTTGTTAAAGTCCTGTGAACATTTCTTGATACTAAAGTTCATTTCCATTGCCCTGTCAACTACNAGCGGTACACAGCGTTGCTAGCACGACGGCACTAGACAGCAGTGGTGCCTACTACGTGGCCGTTTTCTGTATTGTTCGAACGAGACTACATAAGGAGCAGCGAAGGCTATTCACAGTTAGTCCTCGAGCTACCTCCGAGTTAGTTCCGAGTTAGCCAGCAACCAGTCAGTTGTATTCTGGCATTTGGTGTGTAGTATTTGTGATACTGCAGATAGAAGTAATTGTGAATCTGTAATTTGGGTGATTGTGAGTGCGAATGTGGAATAAATTCGCTATAACTAACAAGGCGTGAAGTTATTTGTCGAGTTATACACCCAATACGTGACAATATATACTAGTTGTGCCCGGCCACGCCATGCTGTGGCTCAGTCTGCCCGTTCTTCCCCAGTTTGATTTGCAATTACTCGACGCATTGCTTCCGCTCCGCTAGTACGACGACCCAAGCTTGTTCTTCTGCGAGGCATTATTTGGATGAACTAAAGCGACTGTTATTGCATAGGAAATGCTAGCACAGAACACCTTGTAGAAGTGTTTGGTTTCATCCGTCGTTACGCAACGGAACCTCAATTCCTATGCAGCGGCCCACTGTTATTGCATAGGAAATGCTACTACAGAACAACTTGTAGAAGTGTTTGGTTTCATCCGACGTTACACAACGGAACCTCAATTCCTATGCAATAGCCCACTCTTATTGCGTTATTCCGCATGTACGAGTATGTGTTTGATATTTCAGATCCATCGGTGGACGTAAAGAGGCATGTGATTATATTTATTTTGTACCTTTGCCTTCGTAGAACTCCATCTGCACATGGGTGCGTGATCACCGCCAACACCACAAATACACGGACACAGATGCCGATCCCCATAATTCTACACGAGGATTCTTCTTCTCCCACTGCGGCTGGCTTATGGTGCGCAAACACCCGGAGGTTATCGAAAAAGGAAAAACTATCGACATCTCTGATCTCATGGCAGATCCAGTTGTAAGGTTCCAGGAGAAGTAAGTTAACTAAATAATTACGAGAGCAGTCAAATGAAAGCAGCATAAGCCATGTTTCGAAGAAGGGCGTCCAAAACTAAGATCAAAGGAAACAATCCAAATTCCAATAGTTACATGAGCTGATTCAAATAAGTCGGCAGAATCTGAATAAGCTCAAAGATATATGCAAAATGCACTAAGGGATGCATATAAAATTTTATTTATGACATATAAGATAGGCTGTTTAGTCGGTCTGTACCGCTAGAATTCTAAATGGTGAGATCTCACACATAAATTCTTACAGGAATTCCATTAACGGTTTATGATAAGCACGAGAAAGTTGTGATCTTACGTAAAGTAAGCTTTTTAATCGATAGGTTGGCTAAAAATAAATATGGCCAAATAACATTATACAAGGATGACTAATTTCGAATTTCAGCCGAACAAGATTAGCGGGTTATGATGTATATAAGGAACATGGGGTACCGGAGACATCCACTTTGTCACATCACGTTTCAGCGGCATAATGAAAAACGGATCTAAGCGTGTTTTTGGTCATACTCTTAAATAATATGTAGCAAGTGAGCATTTGTCAAAATTCAATAAACATTTATAGGTCTTCCTTTGAACACCTCGCTTCATAGGATATCGACCAAATGAATCTAAACAGAATTATCGTTATGGCTTGCCTTCACTAGTTCCAGTAAACAAAGTCCTCCGTGAGAAACTTAAGGTAGCTCAGCCGGTCGAGAAATTTCCAGGCTCTGGTAGAAGCTGAAGGTTCGTTACCGTGCTCACAAGAGCCCGCCATTGTAACCTCGCCTGAGTCAACTGAATACAGTCCACACTATAGTATTCGTACATTCCTCTCAGGGTCATTTGAATGTTGTGCATGACACCTACGCCAAGACTGTCAAGTGGTCTCTTTCTCTAAGATTCTCGGTTCACAACTGTGGGCGGAGAAATGCAGAGGCCTACAACGTCTCAGACTTGGACATCGTCCGTTGTACTGGGTACATTTATATGTATTTAAATCGAACTTCAGGTGTGTTTATAATTTTTCGTAAAATTGTTCACTGTCAAATATACTGAAGTACCAAAAGTCGTGCGATAGGTACCTAGTATCGTGTAGGACCTCCTCGAGCCCGGCGAAGTGCAGCAACTCGACGTGGCATCGATTCCACAAGTGGACGGAAGACCTCTGGAGAGATGTTGAGCCATGCCATCTTGATAGCCGCCCACAGCTCCCTGGTATTGTAGGTGCAGGATTTTGGGTGCGAATAAACTTCTCCACCACGTCCCATAAATGCTCGATTGGGTTTATGTTGGGCGAACGTGGTGGCCACACCATTCGTCGGAACTCTCCAGAATGCTCCTCGAACCATTTCTGGACAACTCCGGCCCGATGACACGGTGCATTGTCCTGCTGGAATATCCCATCGTTGTGGGGGTACTATATGAAGTCCATGAAGGGCAGTGTAACGTAGCGGTCACCGGTCAATGACGTGTTTAGGTGGACGAGTGAACCCAACTCATGCCACGTGAACACACCCCACACCAGTATGGAACCACCACCAGCCTGCACGGTGCCTTGTTGACAACTGGGGTCGATGGCCTCAAGGGGTCTGCGCCACACCCGAACCCTACCATCCACCCGAAACAACTGTACCGTGACTCATCGGACCACGCCACATGTTGCCAATCCTCCTGGGTCCAACTAGCGATGTCACAAGCCCAGGTGAGGCACTGTGTCCGGTGTCGTGGTGTTAACAGAGGCACTCTGGTCGGTCTTCTGCTCACATATCCCATGGAAGCTAAAGACCGCTGCACTGACCTGCTGGATATGCGTCTGGTACCTCCTGCATTGAATGTGGATGTGATTGCAGCCAGTGCCGCTTGTCTGTTACCACGGACAATTCTGGCTAACTCCGCTGGTCACGATCATTAAGCACCCGTGGTCGGCCACTGCGCTGTCCAAGGTGGGTGGAAATGCCTTCCACAAGGTATTCCCGGTACACATGTGACACCGTGGATCGAGGAATGTTGAATGACCGCACAACTTCGGAAATGGAATGTTCCATCCACCTGGTACCCATCATCATGCCCCGTTCAAACTCCAATAATTCACATCGGCTTCCCAAGAGCAGACTGGCCGGTGTTCAACCTGACTCAAGAGAGAACACCTCACAACTGATACTGCTCTTGGCATTCCCAAGCCGTCAAGGGACGGTGGCGCCACTTAAAAATATATTTACTTACTGCTATCCCATGACTTTTGGCACACAAACCTATCCAGTGGTTCTGATTTCATGCGAAAAGTGACGCACACATGGTGATCGTTTCCTACATATTTTGAAAATAATGCTTAATAGCAGAATTTTGTGAATCTCTGTACATACGAAGGCGACCAGAAGTTTAGAAGGCCCGTCAGCGTGGAGACTAAGGGTGCAAAGTGGCCGAGTCATAGCTCAAGCGGTTAGTCGCTGGCTTCCCACCGCGGCGGCCCGAGTTCTATACGAGGTCTGCTCAAGTGAGATTTGTGGTGGACAAAGTGGCGCTGGGGCAGGTTTCTTCCGAGTACTTCGGGTTCCCCTGCCAATCTTCATTCCACCAATTGCTCCACAATCACCCTCACCTATCATCTGGGGCTGGTACAATAGGCCAGAAGTGGCCGCAGTACAAGGGACTTAGTCCCACCCCACTAGCAATAAAAAAAAGGAATGCAAAGTACTCGAACTGTAATTCCTTTGCAGGCATTACGTCTTGCTCTACATTGCACTGAATACCGCGGCCATCATGGTGCCATATCTGCTATGGGGCGAGTCACTCCAAGTGTCCTTTTGGACTACCTACGCATTGCGGATTACGTTCGTATACAACTCTTCATGGCTGGTGAACAGTCTAGCTCACTTACACGGCATTAAACCCTACAACAAGTAAGTAAGATTCTTCTATATCATTAGTATTGTCACGGCTCTGGGCTTGCCGCTTCACAAAAATGGTCACAAGATCTATCTTTCATAGTGTTAATTAATAATAAATTACTTAGTATGTTATTTAACTATGCAATATCAACTACACAAATTATTTGCTCTGAACTGGGAAGATTTATTGAAGAAACTTTTCCTGGCTTGTCTTAAAATGTAACTTCAAGTACATTAAATTTTTGGAGTGCTTGTTAATTAAATTAAATATATCTATCAATCATTAGCACTTTATTGCAATTCATTCATTTTACCGAGACGTTTATGCAGTAAATTTTGAGAATGGAAAAATGGCAAATTCTTAAATGACTGATTTGTATATGTGATTTAATTATTCTTAAGGCGAGCAATTCAAGAACTGAGAAATATCACTAAGTGTCTCGGTTAGAACAGCCCGTTCCTCTGACGTAAGTTGAACCAGCTACCTTCTGAATATGAATCACATGGGTTACGACTTGATCTAAGTTTCACAATTAATTCAATGTTCCATTCTATGCTGAAATAATTTAATAACGTACCGGTTCTCACGGTCTCTTCGCTTGCGAATCTCTTATATTTTTTCTTCTACTCTGAAGATGGAGGCGATACGTTCCTCCGAAACGTCGGTTAACACCACATATACACGGTGCCAAATCCCAGAAGACTGCTTTCTTCAACGTACATTAACTTGATATTTGTCATAGATATCACTGAGTAAATTATTTTTTCGCTAAAAACAAACATATCAAGTAGGGCCATTCCATAGCTCAAGCGGCCAGTCGCTTTGTTCCTGAAGCGGCCACCCGAGGATCGATGTCAGATCAGGTCATGTGTAGTCTGTGGTGAACAAAGTGGCACTGGGGAGGGGGTTCTTCGAATATTTTGGTCTCATCTACCAATTCTCATTCTACTACCTCCTCCAAATTCATGTATCATTCTGTAATTAATGGTAAGTAATTTGGATACTGGTGTCGTTAAATAACCAATGTAAAAGTCATAGGAAACTTGTTATTATAGAGAGGAAGGTAAAGTGTGTATGTAAAGGGAAATATTTCCCGTTCAATACTTTGTTTTGTTTTCCGTCTCAACAAATAACTATGAGAATCTCATTCACATTTCACTGTGAATAATGAGTTTTTTATTATTTTTCCTTGGCACTACAGCCCCAGTGGGCCTAGGCCTACCTCCATGAAGTTCTCCGTTCACTTCGGTTTTTTCTAGATCTTACACATTTGGTAGGACTCCTTGGGCGGGTGATCAGCTCGTCGCAAGGCCTCTACCTGTACACAAACACAGAAAAGCGCACACACAAACTAAACATCCATGCCCTGAGTTGGATTCGAACCCATGATCCCGGTTTCCAAGCGAGCGCAGACAGTACATGCCTTAGACCGCTCGACTACCGTGACCGGCTTACCATACCATACCATAAATATAATGAGTAACCATTTAATTCATTGTCTGAATGCTTTAATACACCATAAAGCGTAATATATTTTATGACTTAAATTTTCTTTCTATTTTCATTATTATTATAAATACGTTTATGCACATCTCCAAACATCCATTTCAATGCATTTTATAAAATTTGCACTAATTCAGATGAAAGTTGAAAGTATTAACTGAGTGGGAAGTCAGGTATATTAGCAATAGCTATTATATTGTAATGTATTGTATGTAATGTATTATATTGTAATGTATGAATTCACGTAAAATGCGATTCAGTAGTTAATATTAGTTAATTTATATCGCATCATGATGACTTTATAAGCCGAAACCTGTAGCACATTCTTATAATAGTAAAACAAGTAAACTAATTATACACAGTGAAATGTGAATGAGATTCTCATAATTGTTGTGTTGAAACGGAAACAAAACGAAGTATAAGAAAACACAACAGGATGCACTCTTTGAAGTTTTCGTACTCAGTGTTTATTAGTTTGTGACCATGTAGCCGAAAGTACATGCAATACCAAAAATGTAGTGTTAACGACAAGAGGCTAATAATTAAAAAATAAAAGCAGATATAGTCCTGGACGATAATAACAAATAATTGTATAATCACCGAATCTATTGATATCTGGCTTATCATAAGTTTTTGTTTGGGGGGTTCGAATCCCGCCGGTGACATTGGTGCTTTCCGTTCTCATCACTATCTTCCTACCCCGGCAGAGTAGTTATGCAGATGAAATATTTACGGTTGGGAAGTAACTTGCACGATTCAGCGAACTAGGAAAATCCAAGGAAAACTGAAAAATAAATAAACATTGCCAAAGCAAGAGCACCCTTCGATGAATGTGTTTTTGTTCCCATTGCAGGAAGATTAAAGCTGTGGAGAATCTCCTTGTATCGCTTCTAACAGGAGGAGAAGGTTGGCACAACTTCCACCATATATTTCCGTCAGATTATCGTGCAGCAGAATATGGAAAAGCTTACGATTTAAGCACCATATTATTAGACTCAATGGAGAAGTTAGGCTTGGTGTATGATCTCAGACTGACACCCCAGCACTTGGTGAACAAGTGGGCTAAGAATTTCGGTGATGGTAGTCATCCACTGGGAGGAGAAGAGGAAGTTACACTGGCAACACAAGACACTCCATTAAGCACCAACAAACATCTTTAAATTCTAAAGATGAAACCATTATGTAAAGCGTAAAAAAATTAAAATCGAAGTAAGAGATGGAAATAGTAATTGTGTTGCTGTCCGAAGAACAAATATATTTATTCTGTGACTTTTAATGAATGAATCATTTGAGAAATGCAGCAGATTCACAAAAGTAAAACAGTTCCTGTGAAAGGCGCCCTTCTTCCCTGCATTTCTCAGGAAAACAGCAAAAAGCAACGTGTGGTAAAGGTTATAATTTTTATTTCTATTCGGCTATGTTATTTACTACAAAACTATTTTCAATACTTCTAAGCTATACTGAAACTTTTCAGTGGAACTATGATATAATTAGTAATTAGTAGTTCGTAATCAAAAGATGTGGATTCCAAATTTCTTGAAATTTTATGATGATAATATTAGAATAAATTAAAATATAATCTGCTTATAAGATGCTGTATTTGTGGAAATATATATCACACACTGACTGCATGGTAAATTAAGGGAACGCTAAAAGAAACGTTTCTGAAATATTGCAATTGGAAGACAAATATCAATGTTAAGCATAGTTCATCGCAAGAGAGCGGCACTCGGAATACGTCGGCAGAAGTTATTTGTAAATTCAGAGCGATCGCACGAGAGGCTCTCGCAAATCGTTCAGCCACCAGGTAGAGGAATCGTAGGCACGCGCCTTGACAAACTGTGTGAAGTTCACAAACGATCGCAGTGTATAATGGAGAAATCATTAAAATCAATAAGAACAAAACCAAGTATAAAGATGAGGTGCATGGGATCACTGACTCGGTGACCTTTTCCTGAAATAAAATAAATGGGGATATTCTAAAACAAATTTTTCATGACAAAATATTTGTGCATAATCAATGGTTACGAATCATAAAGAGCATCGTTAAGGTAAAAAAATTTAAAGTTATCTCTGTGCTTAACGAAATAAGCACTACGCCATGAAGGCGTATGGGAGAGTGGATGTATAGATCCACGATCCATATTTCTCTTGGCCTCGGTACGAGTTGGTGAGTTGTCAGGTTCACGTCCCGACCGCTTTACCCCCGGTACCCATTCGACAGGAGCTGGGTGGACCCCAAAGCCGGTCTGGACGACGTGGAGGAGAAATTCTTGAACTTATCGGAATTCGAACTCGATCCCTCGGTCGTCCAACCCGTAGCCAGTCGCTATTCCGACTACCCTATACCGACTCCCTATGAAGAGCATGACATAACAGAATTTCTAAGCTTCCCGAAATCGTCATAAACCACTAAGAAGTTCAAATAGTATGCACGTTGGTAGGCTTAGGAATAGCCACTCTGAAGAACAGAAGATCGCATTATGTGGAGGAACTGTTTTGGAAGAGACTGTGGACCTGTCATCTGACAGATTACTGATGAATGAATATAGGCAACACGCGACAATTATATCCAATTTTTATTATTGCTGAAATGAAACATAACAATTATATTTACAGTATCCCTCAAATATATGTTGACCTGATGTTATTTTGTTCCCTTCTTCCTATAATGGGAATGGATACGTCTCTTTGGTTGAAAATTATGAATTTATAATAAATAAAGGGCTTAGACGACGATGTTACACACTGTGAATGTTCCACAGTTTCGAAGCGACCTTGCTGTGCAAGTTCATCGTTTTTGTCGACTGTCAACTCTTAAATGCATAAAGCGATCATTGTACAATGTATGACGGTAAATGATAGACGTGTGGTGTTACAACTTCTTATTTCAGGATATGAATTAATTAATACGTAAGAATAACTAGGCATAAAAAACAGGGAACATACTTGAAGTCACCAATCCCCCGTAGTGGTTAAGGCACTATGCTACAAGTCGGAAGGTCGCGGGTTGAAATACCGATGAGGTCATTGGATTTTTTTCAATTGACCTAATCCTTCCGGCCGCACTATGGCCCTGGGGTTCACTCAGCCTCTAACAGAAATGCGTACCAGGAATTAAATAAATAATTTTCCTGGGGAGTAAGGCACGGCCGGCGCGTAAGGCTGACAACCTTACCGCCATCTTTGAGCCGATTGTCTAGATAATGTGGGACCCTCAACGTCTCACAACCCTATGGGCCTTCACGGCCTGTTACACTGATAGCTTTACTTTTACTTATTTATATTACACTATACACGGAAATGTAACTGTACGCTCGTCCGTGACACACTATACTCGTATAATAAGAGTATATACTGATGCAAACGTGTTAATGTTCGAAAATTCGTTAACATGGTAAACGGGAATTTCTTAATTACAGAGCTTTCGCACGTTGTTACACTATATATATAGATCTATATAGACAGATGTGAGACAACATATGAATACCTGTAAAGCAGTCTGTATCCATCGCTGTTTCGTCTCTAGGTGACCAAATACTGTTTAACGTATTGTAAACACCACCGTTAGCGACCACGATAATAAATGTTGGGAAAGATGTGTACTGCCATGTTCTTTCAGTATGGAACCTGAAGTTAATACGTTTATGAAAGAACTGTTCTTGGTTTCATAACGAAATAAGCGTGAAGTTTTGTAATTTAAGAGTTAGTGCCATAGACAGGCGGTTAGTAGCTGTATATTCACTGATAGGCCTCGGCTTCCGGCGCGGATAAATTACGGTAATATTCGTCCTACACGAAGTGGCACTGCTTTAAGTCTTTCTCTGACTTTCTGTGGTTTTCTTTAGCAAATCATCTCTTTGTTACCGCTCCATATTCATCTGTCACACCTCCCTGAGGGATGGGGAAACCCCAACCAAAGAGCACTTCATCACATCTTCGGTCTTAACTTTGGAATCTTCATCTCTGACCCTGCACTTGGCGTGTCAGAGAGTAAGGAAGATGAGTTCTGATTTATTAGTTAATAGTTATGAGTTATTAGTTATTAGTTATGAGTTATGATTTACGAAAATATCTCGTCAAGCGAATGGGAAGAAGCTCGTGGTTTCCCAACAATTTTTCGTTAGGAAAGATCTGAAGCATAGAGTATAGAAATGTTTATATTCGGAATTAAGCTCGAAACAGGAATCGCAAGATAAGATTGTGTACGATTTACGTTTTATATTCGCCATTCTCGGTAATCCTCGTAGCTTCAGTCCGCAAGCGAACTATATCGACCGAGCGACCGCCGCTTGTCGGCGAAGTTAGTGCCAGCTTTAGCAGATAGAGGGCGTCGCGCGGTCAGCGCAACGAATTCCCACGGCCGTTAATTTCGATTTTCTAGATCGCAACCGCTACTTTTCCATTCAAGCAGCTCCTAAATTATCCTCACGAGGCTGAGTGGACCACGATCCAGACCCACTCATTTCATCAGTAATCTGTCATACATCAGGTCCACAGTCTCTTCCAAAACAGTTCCTCCACTTAATGCGATCTAGAGCTTTCTCCTTCAAATGAAAATATCCTCTTCTGTCCCCAAGGTCATCCAGCATCTTCTTAGTCTTCTGGTCGCATACATGGTATCTCTGTTTTTGGAAAGAGACTATCCAGGAAAATTTATAATGTGGTATTTTTTCCATTTGCTTTCCACATCGCAGTACAACAGCCGTTCAAACCACTCTGGTCACGCCTGTTGCTATACGAACTTGAACCATCTCGAGCATCATTTGCTCTGTGCTTCAAGTCGCTGCTGATGACGCTGCTTCCGGCATTGGTTTTTGGTGTCTCTCTTCGTCTGATGCCTACCTTTTGACCTGACCAGCAAGCGAGGCCCTGCCAGTGGCTACGCTACCGCTGGTATAGCTCTCAGGGTCCTTGGCATACTCAATCCCCCTCACGATAAGGTGGAGACACCAACGAGGGGCAGACCCATTACTTCTCAGAAAATCAGATAGCGCCGGGAATCGAACCCCGTACCTCTGGATCTGTAGCGAGGAACTCTGACCACTCGACCACAGAGGCGGTCCTCGGTAACTCTAGACACAGAAAAAATCAAAGAAAGAAAATTGTTTACTTTAAGAGTATTTGTGGAATATTTCAACATGTGTTGCCCAGTAATATTCAAGGCAATATCAGCAACCCGAGGTATAATGCACCAGGCCAGAAATATGTATTACGTATTAATCTGAAACGAGTTTCAAGAATGAAATAATTACTCATGTAATGGACACAAATTACTATAAATCTACACAGTTATTAGAGCACAACACGGTATGCCACGACGAAAAACAATCTGTAGAAATATAACCCTCCATTCCTGAATGTAGACAAACGTCGCTCTCCTTGTAAATTATACATATTTTAATAGTACAAGGTCTGCGAAGTTTTGGATGTTTGTATAGTTGGCAATGACAAAAACAGAACACTACAAGGTTTTCGACGTAAGTGATAACAAAACTACCATAGAGAGCCTCGTGATTAAGTAAGAAAACTGTCAGTTGGGTTTTCCTTTTACGATGGAGAAGGGAACAGTCCTACTGTGGATTGTTCTTCATCTGACAGCAATACGAGCAGACGCAGGTGAGTAAATACCAAGGTATATTATTGAAATACTTCAATCTCCTCGTAGACAAGCTCGTGCCATTTTATTTTGACAAATACATGATACAATATAATATTACAAAAAAAAATACTGTGGCCAGATCTAAACTTAAAATACGGCAGTAACTCAAAACACAAGGAGAGCATAATTTTCGTTTTTGTCAGTGAATACATTAAAATGAGAGCCAAAATATCCAAGGCAAGAGATTGATATCCGGATTTGTTTTTTAAGCCGTTACCAAGCAATTACTAGTGAAGACACTGAAGGATGGAAAAGACAGCGTGTACTCGAGCGATTTGTAAAGTGGGGAGATCAGCGATGGCGCTATAATTAAATGTAGTCGCGAGTCGTGCGTTAAAGTGATCAATAAATCCAATATCCAATCCAAAACATGTCAAGAATCACAATAATACACGTGACAATATATCCCTTGGCACTTCACACTTTTATATTATCCTTTCGTTTCCTTATGTAGCCTTCTTGGTTAAGCCAAGTTAAATTCTAACTTGTACATTTCCATCGAAAATAAGTTTCCTTTCAGAGGGCAAGATTTCCCGCAGCACAGAAATTGCTGTGATTCCCGAAGAGCCTAAGGCTGTTATATGTAGTATTTTATTGTATTTTCTTCTTTAATTTATTATCCCAGCTAACCCTTAAGAACACTAGGGATATTATGCATTCACAGTATTCCTTTGTTACGTATTCAAGTTTTTTATGGCTCGGTTTCTGTGCAGACTTTCGTTCACTTTATTAGTCATGATACTTGTTGTAATTATTTCTTAGAAGTCGAGGTTACGAATGTAATTCATTTTCATATTTGCTTTCGTTGTGATTTGATTTGTCATTCAATCAATTAAGTATTCAGTCAGTAACCTTATTCTCATTTAAGAACTTCTGAGACTGCAGATCTTTTCGTACAAGACTCAATTACCCTTTCACTTTTATTTCCTCTATCTGAAGACAAGCAACGTACAAACATGTGGTGGTTACATTTATCGATAGCAAGTAGCACGTCAAATTAGACTGCCGACTATGAAGAGAAACCGGCTTTATCCAGCCATTGCAATTATTATCTTCTTTACAACACAGGTTGGGTTGTGATTGTCACTGATAACAGGAAAATGGAAGACAATGTTTTAACCCTTTCGGGGTTAGGTATTTCAGTTAATTAACTTACCTGCCTTGAGAATATCCAAGCCACAGATTTCGGTATCCTTGAAGAGTACTGCCTAGAAGTTTACCATAGTTTAAGTGGAACATATTGCGTCGATCTTCAGGGTCGATGAGTAAAACATGCAGCAAACGCCTGCTGCTTGCTTGGCTTACGTCTGCCGGACAGTGCAGCGTAATATCCCGGAAGATACTCGTAGTAAATAAAAAGTAAAGCTATCCCTGTAACAGGCCGTGAAGGCCCATAGGGTTGTGAGACGATGAGGGTCCAACATTATTTAGACAATCGGCTCAAAGATGGCGGTAAGGTTGTCAGCCTTACGCGCCGGCCGCGCTTTACTCCCCAGGAAAATTATATAATTAATTCCTGGTAGTCATTTCTGTTAGAGACTGAGTCGACCCCAGGGCCATAGTGCGGCTGGAAGGATTACGTAAACTGAAAAAACCCAATGACCTCATCGGGACTTGAAACAGCGGCCGTACTGCTTGGCGGACAGTCNCGTAAATTGAAAAAAACCCAATGACCTCATCGGGACTTGAACCCGCGGCCTTCCGGCTTGTAGCATAGCCCCTCAACCAACTACGCTACCGCGTGTCCCCTCCCAGAAGATAGTACCGTTCAAATTAACCGCCATTAGAACCTCGAATTTCACTTCTGAGAAATTGATCCACAAACATTTTCATTGCGACTGATGTTCATTTTAATTGTTAATTTTACTATTAACTTTATTTGAGTTTGTATTAACTAACAGATTCGATTCAATAAATTCAGCTTTACTCGAATTTGATATTTGAAAACAAGTCTTCCAATGAATAATTTTTATTTTGTAATTAGAAATCGCATAAGTTAAACTGAAATTTGAACTCATACGAAATACAATCCCTCTGGCTCCCATGAAACAAGGTATTTCCTCGCTATCGTGCGACAGGGTTCATTTTTCCGCATTGTAGCTAAAACCTTCCCGCAAAATTTAGAATAAAACATATTCTAGAGAGAAAATCACTCACTACGTTAGATACGTAAATGATATTTTTATTGTATAAAAAGACAAAATTGAACCCTAAACAAAAATGGACGATTATAACAAATAATATAAAACGTTACATTTCACATCATAGATTAAAATAAAAATCATTTAGCACACTTGGTTCTAAACCTGACAAATAACAAACAAACAAAAATACCTATATACAGTAGACTCTCGATTATCCGCGCGCTGTTTAACCGCTTTGCGGCTCAACCGCGGCAATGTATTTTTAAAGATTTTTTTTTTTCAGTGAGTATCACATTTGTTTAAATGTTTTGTATGACAGTCAATGTTAGTTTACTATAATTTAGAGAGAACTGTACTCGCATTTACGTCATCNTTGATAGAGCTCGTGACTACACTTTACAGTGCACTGTTACATACGTACACTAATGTCCACAGTCACGTCTTCATTGCCGTTGCTTGGTGGCGCTTCCAATTCTGGACGTTCCCCTTCCTCTCGGTTCTCGAAATGTCCCCGGCTTCAGCTATCAGCTCATAACGACTGTGCCGCAACAGTTCACCAATACGTCGACCAATTCCACTCACTAACTCCACTCCACTGACTCGTGTAACCTGTCCTGCTTATAACTCGGCACCGCTCGGCACTGCTTTCGTGTCTGTTGGGGTTCCGATCGCTACTCGTTCATTGCCTAGCAAATGGCCATTGCTTGCAGAGCCATTACTTAGCAACGAATGTCGTACAACTCCTTATTTCGCGGTCCTTGCCTAGCAACGGGTCTACATGACACAATACTATTGGACGTGCACAACTTTACATCTGATTTCAACACATACTTACTTACTTACTTACTTACTCATGGAGCTGAGCCCTTCTGGAGGAGCCGCCAATTCTGCAGCTACTCTAGAATTTCCCAGCATTTTATGGAACCCGAAGGTTCATTACCGTGTTCACAAGAGCCCTCCACTGGTCCCTATCCTGAGACAGATCTATCCAATCCATACCATCCCATCCTATCTCTCTAAGATCCATTCTAACATTGTCCACCCACCTACGCCTTGGTCTTCCTTGTGGTCTCCTTCCTTCTGGCTTTCCCATCAATATCCTATACGCATTCCTCGTCTCCCCCATTCGTGCTACATAACCTGCCCACCTCATCCTCCTCGACTTGATCACTCTAATTGATTTCAACACATACACTACAAAAATATTTCTATATTTAATATGTATTTTATTCAGGCATAATTTAGCACTCCTTAAGCATTACACATTATTGTACATATATAGACTGCGGTATACAGCTCGTCCCAGAGGGTCGGATTGTGGGAGGAGAAGATGCGGATGGGGATATATTACCGTGGTATGCACTCATGCATCACCCAGAAGATAAAACAACGCCAATATGCTCAGGAACACTTATCGATAGCCATCACGTCATCACGGCTGCGCACTGCTTTACCCTGTAAGTAAGTAAATCCACTAACGCATTCACGAATAATCTGCAGCAATGTTCCCTCCAAATACACTGTTTCAACACTAAACAAGAATAAAAATTAATCCACAGAGATATTGGGTTTATGGACTTTATCCATCGTCCTGGTTTTTAAGAGAACTAAGAAAAAACACGACGTTTCGGAAACTGGATCTGTTTCAGTCCTCAGGTGAGGGAAAACACCTTTCTAAGGGACCCAACAGAATAAGTGTTTTCCCTCACCTGAGGACGGAAACAGATCCAGTTTCCGAAACGTGTTTTTTCTCAGTTATCTTAAAAATCAGGACGATGGATAAAGTCCGAAAACCCAATATCTCTGTGTGTTATACACCATCGTCAGAATGCTATAGTAACTACTAATAAAAATTATTTTTTTTACCCATGACCCCCAGTGACCCTGATATTTTCATCATCATCATAATCTTGCCAAAAGAAAGTTTTTGCTCACAGTACTTTCCTATGACCCGTCGTTCAAGAGATCTCCATGTTATCCTCCCCCAGCCAAATTTTTTATCCCAAAGGGATCTTATGACTTCTCTACTTTTCTTATTAGCCGAAAATATTTCTGAGCTTTGATTCCATTCGCCATGCAACAATTTGCGAAATACAGAATGTGACATCATACTGAATTTTGAAATTTCAAATTAAATTATAAGATTATAAGATGGCATGTTTCGCAGCGATTAAACATAATAGGGACTTCTTTGGTTGCAAACCATGTCAACTCTGCACTCGAAATATTTTCCTTAGGCTCTCCTAAAAGGAAGGCTTCATCTTTTCATCGATTTGTATCGTCACAAAGGTCAAGTGTGCGCCATCGATCAATATAAACATATCGAGGACCAAAATGTCAGAATTTTTCATCGTCTGCTAACAAGAATATACGAATTTCTGTTGACTGTGACCTTCTGGGTAATGATACCATGCAGTCTGGTAGGTGGTTACAAAGTTTCGAAGGCCCCACTTCTAAACAAGTAAACGTCTAAGAGAAAAGAAAGCTCTTGATCATAAAACTCGTAGAGACCAGAAGCCAGGAATGGCTGTGCTGGCGACGGCCAGCAACAATTTTACCGACCGGCCATGTCAGCCAGTAGTAGCTGATGGCCAGTGAGGGCCAGTGAATAGTCAGTGATTGATAGCGGCGCCATGAGTGAGATGAGAGTCGACAGCTGAATTAGTTGTGGGACAGTCGTTAATCGGTAAGGATGTAAGCAGAGGGCAGTGTTGAGATCTGTTACCAGGCAACGGCTAGTGAAGACATAGCAGAAAACGTGTGTTGCAGTGATAAGTAGATTGCGCGAAATAGTGGCAGCGTCATATTTATTTGTAGTTAAGGTATAAAAGTGTTCAATAAATATAATTACCAACACAAATCCCGTGTCTAGCAATTAACACAACGACCAAATCGGCTCTGATGCCTGCCCATCCTACTATCCAGTGAGTACCACCGAATTTCTTCCCGGGGGCAAAGCAGCTAGGACGTGTAGCTGTCCAGTCACCTACATCTAGGTCAAGAATGGTGGATCTGTACTTCTATTTCCCAGTACGTCTTATTCTCGTAGAGCTGGATTAATTAAGCACAGGGGCAACTTTACGTTTTCACCTTAACATCATTTCGTCAGTGTTTTTCTGTCTCTGGTCTGCTTGCCAAGCGATCATACAACTCACGCCGCTATATTGCAATAACGATCTACGCTCACACACTGCCGGCCACCTTACAGTCGTGCCGCCCACCTTACAGTAGTGCCGGCCACCTTACAGTCGTGCCGCCCACCTTACAGTAGTGCCGGCCACCTTACAGTCGTGATAACCATACCGCAACACAGCAAGACTCAGTAGAACATGGGCTAGTGTGTATACAGTTAGATCAAAGACTCTTAATAAACAGGCAATTTCATGATTTTACTACGGTTTATTTGAAGAGAAACTCGTGGCAACCAGGCACGTTAGCCAGTAGCTGCATGAGCACGCACGATTCTTCGATAATAATGGGCCAAATATATTTTCAGTATAGAAGGGGACAACAATACGGCCAAGTTTGGTGTGACACTAGGAATACACAACAGATGTGTGAAAGAGTCCACCCACAGGACCTTCACAGTGACTAATGTCGTTCTCAACCCTAACTATACATCGCCGTTTGGCAACTATGACATGGCTATTATGACGTTAAACCAGACTACAAACTACACGCCTATCTGTCTTCCCGGAAAAGGTAAGCTGTAAAATACTTTTAGGCATTTATTATGATAAGAATTCAATATAATTACTTCATGGGCACATGCTTGTTCCCACCTGTTTTTCTGTTTCGTTGAGATCTCACAGGAACAGTATATGAGGGTGTGAAATGGATTCATCTGGCTTAGGACGGAAACTGGTTGAGGGCTGTTGTGAATGCAGTAATGAGCATTCAGATTACATAAGAGGTGTGGAATTTCTTGACTGACTAAGCAACTATTAATTCCTCAATAATGTCTCTGCACAGTGCAATATGGGATATTATTACTATCGTTTCTCACATATGATTAGTCTTGGTACAATCCACTAATTATGAGCCACGATAGCATAGTCGGTATGGCGACTGGCTGCGGGCTGGACGACCGAGTGGCCGCAATTCCAGTTAGGTCAGTAATTTCCTCTTCTCCATGTCTTCCAGAAGGGTTCTGAGGCCCGTCCAACCTCCTATCCAATGGGTATTGGGAGCTCTTTCCCCGGGCGTAAAGCGGCTACTCACCTCCAGCTAGTGCCGAAGTCGAGAAAATATGGAACTATAAATTCATTCCCCCATACGCCTTCCACAGGTACAACTTTACTTTTTTTTTCCCTTGGCACTACAGCCCCAGTGGGCCTAGGCCTACCTCCATGAACTCCGTTCACTTCGGTTTTTCTAGATCTTACACATTCGGTAGGACTCCTTGGGCGGGTGATCAGCTCGTCGCAAGGCCTCTACCTGTACACAAACACAGAAAAACGCACACAAACATCCATGCCCTGAGTGGGCTTCGAACCCACGATCCCGGCTTCCGAGCGAGCGAAGACAGTGCATGCCTTAGACCGCTCGGCTACCGTGACCGGCACAACTTTACCTTAGAGTCCACTAATTACGACAGACACTTTACTTGGAGACTTAAAAGCTTCTGTGCCAATTTCCTTACACAAATACACAACTGTTTCAGAAGAGTCTGGCACAACCTAAATCATATATTTCTGTAAACATTTATTTACGATGAATCATTAAATACCCTCTAAGCATGCGTATTTCCGCCCTTGATATACAGGACCCATCTATACATTAAACTTGCCAATATTTCCAAGAATCATACTAACATATTACCAAGGGACTAATCTAAATGTAAGTCAATCGCCTGCAACTTCAGTGCCTGTTGTAACTTTCCCATCGGTTAGCTTCCAGTGAGCCTATTTGAGCCTCTCTTCAAGACTATATAGTGGAGACGGAAACGTTCAGAAGTACTGTAACTTAAGAAAGAGCAAAAGAGCTGCTCACTTCCGGTAACTCAAACAAGAAAATTGTAAAATCAAATTTCAGCAAAATCTTAACGAAAAATTTCATTTAAGGGAAATATTACCAGTATGCAAGTCTGTGCTATAACCTATACCTATGGAAGAAGTACATGAATGTAAATATGTAAAAGTAAAGTAAAGCTATCCCTGTAACAGGCCGTGGAGGCCCATAGGGTTGTGAGACGCTGAGGTTCCCACTTTTCTAGACAATCGGCCAATAGATGGCGGCAAGGCTGTCAGCCCTACGCGCCGGCCGCCCCCTTGTTTTTCCCTTGGCACTACAGCCCCAGTGGGCCTAAGCCTACCTCCATGAACTTCTCCGTTCACTTCGGTTTTACTAGATCTTACACATTCGGTAGGATTCCTTGGGCGGGTGATCAGCTCGTCGCAAGGCCTCTACCTGTACACAAACAAAGAAAACGCATACACACAAACTAAACATCCACGCCCTGAGTGGGATTCGAACCCACATCCCGGTTTCCAAGCGAGCGCAGACAGTACATGCCTTAGACCGCTCGGCTACCGTGACCGGCTCGGTCGCCCTTTACCTCCAAGATTATTCCAAGAATATTGCTCGTACTCATTCTGTTAGAAACTAAGTCGAGCGCAGGGCAATGGTGCGGCTGGAAGGATTAGGTCAATTGAAAAAATCCAATGAACTCAACGGGACTTGAAACCGCGACTTTCCGGCTTGTAGCATAGTGCCTGAACCAACTACGCTAACGAGTCCCCTTGTAATATAACACTTAATAAACCTCAACGATAAAAAATGCTTGATAAATATAACGAAAATGCTTTTACAAATAATTTAAATAACTTATATAGATATTGGTAAAATAATATCATGAAGACAAGTTCAAAGTGATACAGAAAAGTCAATAAACCAGTGGTAAAATAAACCAGAGATAATAACATGCAGAGACAGGGACAAAGAAAGGAATAAAAATAGAAGTTACGACGCAAGATCAGGCAAAAGCAAATGCTTAAGGTTTTAGGATTACATGTGACAATCAGTATCTATAGTACTCGTAAAACTGGAAGTATCAACATTCATTATATGTAGAAAGAGACAGGAGGAACAGATAGAATGACGGAGGGTGTACGTTCTAAGAGAACAAAGGAATTGCAGACCTACAAGTCAACGTGTTACACGACGAATCTGTTACTAATTTCTACTTTACAGCTACATACATGGTATTTGCTTTTCAGTCGAAATGAATCTAACGAATCGAGTCGGAGAAATACTTGGGTTTGGCGAGACAACTGAAGGCAACACTAAATTGCCTTGCACTTTACAGAGGGCCTACATTCAGATCTTCACAAGTAAAGAGTGCAACGAGTCAGAACTTCCATCACACACATCCAACCCACGGGTTCTTTGTGCTGGCGTCATTGGTGGAGGCGTCGACAGTTGCCAGGTTGGTAGCACCACACAAGTAATTACATGTTGCAGTTACTCATGCCGTAAAATTTCTACATTTTTATGGAACTCGAAGGTACTCGTACATCACCATGTTTACCAAACACGCAACTGGCACTATCCTGAAACCGCTGAATTAAGTCGAAATCCTATTCTGTTGCGAGTTCTGTCTCAGTAACGTCACTTGTAAAACTAACTGATTTGAAGTACATGTTCACCGATTGGTTCATTCATTCATTGACGGAAGCTACTTAGTCTAAAGAACCCCGTGTTTCTTGTGTTAAGAAAGTAAAACTGAAAATAAATTAAATTACTAGTGACATATTCGGAATTCTGACGAGCAAGTTAGTTCAAGCGGAAATATTACTGCATTGTCACTGGGAGGTGCCGGTTAGAATTTCGGCAGGGATACCAACTCTTCTGGCACAGATTTCTAGTGGATTTCCTCGTTCTTTCCAGACAATATCCGGTATAGTACCTTAAAATGGGCCACGTTCATTCCTTAGAGGTATTTTTCAATTCATCATTTATTAATCATCCTCTCATTCAAAGCTATGTAGTCTGAACGACTGATATTGTCATTAAATAAACCATGAAAATGAACTGACGACTAAGTCACATTCACTCAGTCAGCATCTTATATCAGCTACAAGAACATCATAGCAGAACAGATCCAGTTCGGCCCTTCGGCTCCCATATATAAATGCGAAAAGGAATCCAGATCGGTCCTTATCGATAAACCAGGTTTCTGAGGGATAGGTAATCCACCTCATGGATAGGTGTGCCCAAGTCACATGCCTCCCACATATATTTCCGTATGCCGGAGTCTAAGCCTCAGAACCAAAATTATCTTTCTGCCAATGAGATTCAAATTAACCCATTCATTTAATGACTAGTCGCATCGAAGTAGACTTGTGACAATACGATTAACCACCCAGAAACTATACGTTGGTCCATGTCATAAGCTCAGGCGGTTAGTCGCCGGCGACCCGGGTTCGAGCCCAGGTCAGGTCATGTGGGATTTGTGGGGCAGGTCTTCTCCGATTACTTCGGTTTCCCCTGCCAATTCGTATTCCACCGACTGCTCCACATTCATCATCACCCGGGGCTCGTACAATAGGAAAATTAGTGGCCGACGAACCAAGTGGACCCAGTCTCAACCCACCCCAAGAAATTAATAAAGAACTAAACTCTACGTTAGATTCAAACTCTGACGGGCCGCCAACCAAATTTACAAAACATATTGTGGCTTAGTTATACGGGTCATCTGTTTCTTTATTTACTTTTATTTATTTATGCAGGATTCTTACCTGGAACTTTCGAGAGGCAAAACTTTCTCCTCGTCTTACTCGGTATTATACAGTGCGTACAATCAAGTGCGCGCCGCGGCTGCAATTTGCCGTGAGTCATACCACCGCAGAACGGATGCAGTCGCGGGGNCGGGACTTCTTGTTAACAAGCCTTTTACATTAATCTAAGTTATGTACTGCAGTATATAAAACTAACTACGGGATCAAAATATATTGGAACTAGGTGTATTCATAATGCGACAGATTATGGAGCCCAAATATAATTAAATAGACCCGTCCCATGAACTGAACTTGTGGTGTAACAAATTTAACAACTTGCCTTAAACCCAAACCATTCTGAATTGCGCAACCAGTGATATAGGGACCAATCGCGTGTTAACCGTGAAATAGCTGCATCATTCAACCATATAAATACCAGTCTCAGGCATATCACCTTCACGCATGATGTTTCATGTACACATCTATAGTGTTATTTGGGGTCAGTTGGTTCAGGCCCTATGCTACAAGTTGGAAGGTCGCGGAATGGAATCCCGATGAGGTGGATTTTTTAATTTACCTAATCCTTCCAGCTGCACTATGGCCCGTGGCCCTGGGGTCGACTCAGCCTCTAACAGAACTGAGCACCAGGCATCTTCCTGGGGGTAAAGGACGGTCGACGCGTAAGGCTGATAACCTTAACGCCATTTGCGATCAGACTGTCTAGCAAATGTGGGCCCCACGACGTCTCACAGCCTTATGGGCCTTAACGAACTGTGCCAGGGATAGTTTTATCTTTTTACTTTTTATATCGTTATCTGTTGTCGAATCCTAATTTTGGCCATCACTAGTGCTGACTTCACCCAACACTCCATCCAGTCAAATGATCAACTACGTATAGTTCCATCCAGCTATCTATCGTCCATGGAAGATGACTGACGCCCAAGCGGTGATTATTGGTTTCAATTTACTATCGAAAGCTCACAGGACAATTACTACATTACGCGAAAGATAACTTAGGATACGTACTCGTAAAAATAACAATGTAGGTCTGATTTTCAAAATATCTTCTATATTATAACAGTGTACCAGACAAATTTATTCTTTTATTATTTTAGCACGCTTTCTTTCATCAGCCTCACAAGATTTCCAAGAGTTCGAAACAAGGATTTTAAAATGATCCGCACAATCTTGACTAAGAGTTTTACTTGTTGGATTTGAGGTTGTCACAGCGGTTGGTATTAAGATTTTATCTTCTGCCATATAACACCGTGCGCGCCAATGAAAGTCAACCGATATTACGCAGGAACATACATACATATCCTCCACCTTGGGCTCTGAAGATGGGCCCGATGTTCCTTCAAAATGCCAATTGACTTTCATTGGACTCTATGGCATATTCCAGATGGCAGAAATCTTCAATAATTTTACTTCTTACATGCAAGGAAAATTTCGAGTTTCGAAACCATATACCAGGGTGCGGCAACGTACATGATATTTAAAAGCGTTATGTTGGCAGCCGCTGAGGATTTTATGGGAGGAGCCGTCACTTTCTACTTGACTAATGCCGTTACAGTAGCCATGGAGCAGTGGCGCGTGCAACAGTGTGCGCTTATTGTTGAAATGTTTTTTTTTTCTTATGGTGACTCTGTTGCTAACGCGGCGAATGTTTATCAGGCGTTTCAACGTTGTTCGTCACGGAAAAATCCTGGTCGCAATACCATACAATTATAGGTATAAAACTTCAGAACGAGTGCTTCCACATTAACCCTTGCACCGTCACCATTTTGTACGGATGGGAGTTCAGATCCATATGTAGAATTTTCCTCACGCTGCGAGCGGATATTCCTACAGCAAAAGAACGCCTCGGACTCCATATGAATAACTGCCTCACAGCCTCAGTGTTATGTGGCAATGTACACTGCAGGTGGTTACTTTTTTAACACTTTGCGGACCGGCAATTTAAATATTTAAATCGCCCTGGGGACCGGCATTTTTAAACCTACTACCCTAACTTGTGCACTGTTCACTTTAAAAATTAACATTTTGCGGACAGCGCACCCTTTAAATGGTTTTTCGCTTTTAAACATGGTGGACCGTTCGCCTGGACTGCCTACATTTGCAAGTTCTGTGTAATGCCACTTCACAAAGGGGAATGTTTCCTGGAATATCACACTCTCAAGCACTTCTAGGAGCATTGGTAAGTGTTCTCCAAAAATTTTAATTCATAAAATTAATTATGAGATTTTATATTAAGCGAACGTGACATGGCAAACCGTGGCACAGTAGCTGAGCGTTTAATCGGAATTTCGTTCGGCGGTGTTATTTATCCTTATGACACGTGAAGCACATTTCCTCTCATCTGGCTGTGTCCACAAACAGAAATTTCGCTGNACTTTAAAAATTAACATTTTGCGGACAGCGCACCCTTTAAATGGTTTTTCGCTTTTAAACATGGTGGACCGTTCGCCTGGACTGCCTACATTTGCAAGTTCTGTGTAATGCCACTTCACAAAGGGGAATGTTTCCTGGAATATCACACTCTCAAGCACTTCTAGGAGCATTGGTAAGTGTTCTCCAAAAATTTTAATTCATAAAATTAATTATGAGATTTTATATTAAGCGAACGTGACATGGCAAACCGTGGCACGGTAGCTGAGCGTGTAATCGGAATTTCGTTCGGCGGTGTTATTTATCCTTATGACACGTGAAGCACACTTCCTCTCATCTGGCTGTGTCCACAAACAGAAATTTCGCTGCTGAGCAGAGGAAAACCCACAGGGGCTCCATCAACGGCCTCTTCACAGCGCACGTGTGATCACATGGTGTGGGGTGGCACACTTCGGCGTCATAGGCCCTTATGGACGTGCAGTTACAGTCACATCTGCTCGTTATGTTGAAATGTTACGGGACTTCCTCACACAAGAACTGAGTCGCAGTGAAATTCAACTCTCGACCACGTGGTTCCAGCAAAATCGTGCAACTGCCCATACAGCGAAAGCATCCGTGGAGTTCGTTCAGGAAATATTTCCGGAGGGCGTTACTTCACCGCGCAGCGAGCTTCCATTGCCTGATCTCCCTGCCTGTGATTATTTCCTTTCGACGCACCCCAAAGCGAAAGCGTACACCATTCGACCATGAACCAACGATTATTTCAAGCTGGCAATCTGGAAGCAAATTTCAGCGATACCAGAAAACACGTTGAGGCGAGCACTGGGAAACCTGTGAGCAAGTTTGGAAGTGCGTGTACGCAATAAGCAACATCTTAGTGATGTGCAGTTCAAAATGAAATAAACAGAACCGCAATGAAATGTATGTGTAATAAAATGCCATTCAATTTTCATTCATTTTGTAACAATAAATAAGTAAAGGCGAGGGCAATGGGGACTCATAGGATTGTGAGATGTCATGGCTCCCAGCACTAATTATCAAACCGAACTGTCTTAAAGTAGATAAAGCAATAATCCTCCTCAAATCATATTCAAAATTAGCCCCCAACCCCGCCATAAACATCGTCAAACCAGAAACAAGAAGAAGAAAAACACTCAACCAATCACTAAAAGCGGGTCTAAACCGAATTAAAAGATAAACCCCAGCAGTAACTAAAGTAGAAGAATGCACTAAGGCAGAAACAGGAGTGGGAGCAGCCATAGCAGCCGGTAACCAGGAAGAAAAAGGAAGTTGAGCACTCCTAGTTATAGCAGCCAAAACAACCAGCAAAGAGATTAAAACCATCTCAAAAGAACCCCTCAAAAAATCCAAATAATAGACATAGTTCCAACTACCAAAGTTAACTATTCAAGCAATAATCATCAACAAAGCAAGATCGCCCACACGGTTAGAAAGAACTGTTAACATACCAGCATTAGATGTGGCATCTAGTATAAGTCAAATTAAACCAGCGTGCCAAGACATAGGCCATTTCGTACTACAAACAAATATTCACATACACAGCCTGAATTGTGACGTAAGGCCTCTACAATATTCTGTACTGTCGTATAATTATGAACATAAAGGTCTACTGATGTACTGATCTATCAATTAGATTCTAAAGGGTTCTGACGACGGTGGATGACACATAGATTACTGTTTTTTTTTCTTACTTTTTCCATCGTCCAGAATTCTAGGTAACAGAGGATACAACGTTTCAGAAACTGGATGTTTCCGAAACGTCGTGTCCTCTATTACCTAGAATTCCGGATGATGGAAAAATTCCAAAAACCCAGTAATTCTGTATCTATTATCAATGTTTATTTACATGTGGGAAGGGAGATTAAGTGGCTAATATAATCATCTTTACAGGGGGACAGCGGTGGTCCACTCCAAGTAGTAGACAACGGAGCCTTCGTACTGGCAGGTATTCTTTACTTGAGTAACGAAAATTCTTTTCGGAGCGTAGTCTTAAGGCGCGTCCACACTACTCGTGCTCGTGCTCGTCTGGCTACTTCAGTTGCTCGCCAGCCTTCGGCGCGTGAGGATCCGTATGTTTACTCGTAGTGTGTATAGGCTGTATTCGTATTTCAATTTATTGGCTATAGTTTTTAAATTTGCTTGTCTCGTGACTTGTCATATCGTCCACATTACTCGCGAGAATAGTCACACGAGCACGAGTAATGTGGATGGGCCTTTATACGTCGTTAGTGCATGGTCACTGTCATTAATTTGATCATGCTAATTTCCTTCAGGTTAAAATTGCATGCAAAGTCATATGAAGGTAACTTCAAGTTACCTTAAACTTCAACAATAACGTGTCTATGGCTGAGGTATTCTTGGATATCGAAAAAGTCTTTGCTAAAACATTGGCACCTTTGCTCGCTATATGTAAATATAAATTATATAAATTAAAATTTTCAGTCTAATCAAGCTTATTAGCTCTTCTTTTTCAGAGAAAATTAAATCTCAGTCGAAGGTGAAATGTCTACTCCAAGGGATATACAAATAGGGGTGACACAAAGTTCTGTCCTGTCTCCCATGTTATACAGTATTTATGCAAATGATACGCCCCAAACACCTGGTGTCTTTCCAGGTCTCTTTGTTGATAACCTGTATATATACGACTGACCGCAAAGTTGGTTATGTTCTCAGAACGCTGCAGCGAGGTCTCAGTGTTATTGAGATGAACTGGAATATAAAAATCAATGAAGATAAGGTTCTGACCAACTAGTTCTCTCATAGACTTACGTCCCCTGATGCTCACCTTACATTGAATGGACGGAACATCCTCCGTCAATCATGCAAAACACCTCAGTGTAATCTACAATAAGAGGATCACACAGACTACGCATAGAAATGACTGAAGCCAATGTCTTCAGAACATCTATTAGAATCTACTACCTATTGAAAAGTGTACGTTTAAGTCTAACATTAAACTAACCCACCATAAAGGACTGATTAGATCGGTAATGACTTATGCTTGCCCATGGTCATGATCCGCGCGAAGATGTAAATCGCCAATCGTAAAGCAACTCTGACTCTGTCAAGAGAGTTCGCATGCAGGCAGACAAGTCTATGTCTGAGGATGCTGTGATACATTCGCACAATGGCAGAAGAGTCTCCATCCTATCCTTTCTCTTTAATCTTCCCAGTGGAAGACTTGGAAAACTTAGCACGTGCTACAGTGGACTGTAAAGTGTGTGGATTAGTGAAATGGTTGTAATTACTTATAATCACGATTTGTGTAAGAGTCCAATAAATATGATTACCAATACAAACCCCATCTATAGTCACTCAAATGCGCGACAGCTGTTTTATTACACATGTGTATGTGCACATACGCATACACTAAAATTTCATGGTAATAATACGATGCTAATGTCCTCACTGTCTGATGCAGTACGGTAACAAAAAGAACAATTTCCAACTTTTCATTTTGTTTTACAGGAATTGTTTCATATGGATTTGGTTGCGGGAAAATGGGCTATCCCGGCCTCTACACAAACGTTTATTTCTCCCTGGACTGGATTAAAGAAAACATATGACACGATGATCAGAAGACCTGGGCTAAAAAAAATGTACTTAAAGAATCTGAAAGGAACACAGTTTTATAGAGCATTAATATAATTGACCATCTCTCGTTTCTTAAGAATACATAAGATAAATTCAGTATTAAAAATAATAAACTTCTGTTTCACTACTGTTAATTAAAATACCTAAGCTTTAAAATGCAAATGAATATTTATTATAGCCTATAGCATATTGTACTGAAAGAACCCACTCCAAAGCGTTTCATTTAAACTCAAAATTAACTGATGGGTACTTTTGTATACAATAAGCAAATCCACTAGTAAATCTAAAATCTTTGTAGTTGTAACCCCCATTGAAGCATCTCCGGACCTGGCTGCTGAGCGTGGAAATGTTACCACACATTCAGAATCATAAACGTATCAACTAAAGCACTTCTACTACACGTACAACTACAAAGCTATAACCAAGCATTTGTCAAAATTAATGTTTCCTGAAGTTCCATCTTAATCACTTTTAACGCTAATATGAAACTGTATTCACAGGATCGCTCAGAGGTAGCTAGCACCCCCATCCTAGGCGACACTAAGATGACCCTGAGTGAACAATGTAGTAACACTTCATATGGATCATACAGTCGCAGTACTTGGCGGTCCTCCAAGCATGATATATTATTACAGGCCATCATATGAATCATCTTTTGGCCGGTGACTGCAGGCATGAATACTGGGGGCCTAGGCATTGCTAGTCTCATGCAATATTGCTTCAATTCCTAACTCATACAGCATTAGATGGCAAGATGGTTTGTAAATGACGATTGTTAAGGACGAAGTAAGAGCTAATGTCCTAAGAGGCCTATACTCTTAAGTATTTCCCACCACTTGCCTCAAGGAACTAGGGAAACCCATGAAGAAACTCAGTCGGTACAGCTGGTCACCAGGACTATATTTAAGACCAGGTGCTCCGCAATATGAAGCAGGATTGTTATCCAATTCACTGCAGTGTTTGGTCAAGATGTTTTCAAAGTAAAAGTCGTATATCTTAATGATAGCTTTATTTCATTTGATGCCCTAATTTCTTGTACAATGTGTAACAAAATTCAAACTGGGTTTCATGGAAACTGAGGATTACAAATGATGGATATGAATTAAAATTAAGTTCTCCCTTCTTTTAGTGAGCATCCAATTAACAATTTATATGAATATTAAAAAACAAAACAAGGCATCATAAAGCGTTACGTCTTCTGGATATAATGCTATATAGTCTATTGAGAATAAACCACATTTCTGAGAAACACATCATGTCCACCTTCTGAGCTAAACAAGCCAAGCCAAGCCAAGCCAAGCCAAAATCCAGGTGTTGAAGCGCAGGAAGCAGGTTTTGCTGATAACTGATGGATTTAAACTGTTTTTAAGATCTTCATAGCATGTGATGGCACACAATATACAGAAGAAGGTAACACACAAAGACACATGGGTACGTTACAGTATTTGAAATAAAAGTATCAGAACTAATCCAAACAAGAACATACTTTTTGCATTATTCATGTGGTGCTATTTCAAGTATGTTTTGGCTTTAATATTAATTTTTTAATTACACAAAGACTGGAATAAAGGAATGACTTAAAAAGCTCACATACCAGTTCCAGGAACTGAACCAAAAGATCTGATACAAGAATGCTGTCATTCTGTCACAGTGTCATATTACAAGCCGAACATTTTACTGTATCTTTCTCACTAAAACCTATGTGACATGACAGTCATGTACTATATTTCAAATCACCAAGGAGATAAAACTAGAAACAATATTCTTAATGGAGCTGGAGTTCAAAATGTTAACAGAATTGCAAGTGAAATTATTACAATGGTTTGGCCATGTAAATAGAATTGAAAGAAACAAATTTACTGATAAAGGCATTACAATCAAGATTTAAGACACAAATGGGATGATCTAAAAAAAAAAGGTGTTGAAGCAGACAGTGGAACAAATTAAGAGAGGAAAAAGCTAGCAAGAAATTCAAAAGGAAGAACCATTCAAGAAAAAGAGATTGGAGATATTCACCCATCAACCTGCATAAAATGGAAACAATGAAAGAATCTTTCAGAAAAGGGTAAAATATTACAGGCTGTAATGATGTATAGTCTGGCAGAAGTCCATCAATGTAAGTCATGCAAGAAACTCACAAGTAGCAGATGATAAGCACAGCGAACCACAAGTGAAGAACAAGAATATGAAATAGGCTACAACGGAACTCAAACAGCAAATGAGAGCAGACCTACTGTGTGTTCTCCATGAGACTCAGAAGAAACTAACTGGGGAGAAAAAAAAAGAGAGAGACCGAGATCAACTCAGTAACCACAAAAATGAACATTTCATTACTTGAGAAATGGGAAACAAGAGGGAGAGAAGTTGTGTGTAATAGGTACAGAAATAGGGGAGGGTGGGATAAAAGTCTTGTTAAGTGGGTTCAAGCAAGAACCAGAAAGAAGCTGGGAAGGAAGTCGCTGCTGCAGAAGAGCAGCAAGGTGAGCTCAGGTGTAATGGGTGCCATGAAAGGGACCTGGTCTACAAGCCCAGTGGAGAACCCTATGATGAAAGCATACTGTGTTCTTTGTGGGAGTTAATGAGAGGATTTCATGACTTTCTTAGGCAGAATGCATCCTCCGTACTCGTATTACTGGGACAGATCTCAATCTCCATCACCTTCCTGATGATAAGGTCCAATATCACATCTGGCAAAAAGATGTCAATGTTATGGAGCTGAATATGGTGTTCCAAATTGATGCTGTGCCCTGCCACGGCTAACATGTACTCCTTCACCCAGGTGTCAATTAAACAGCCTGTGTGTCCACACTGCACTCACTAGGTATACAACCAGTCCTTCAATCTGAGGTCACCCTTGACCTCTGATGAGGACACAGACTCTACCCTTTCCAGGCCACCCAATCGATATGTCAGTCTTCCTTGTTGCTCTTCCACAGAAGCCTCTCTTCCCTTCCTTCCCTTCTGGTTCTTACTCTTCTTATCCCTGGCTACTTGCTTACAACCCACTACTTGTCTTCCCTCCTACCCTCTTTCACTTCTTTACCTATTATACACACTTCTCTCCGTCGCTGTTCCCACTTCTCAAGAAACAAAAGACTCATTTTGAGGGACACTTGAGTTACTCTTCTCTTGCTACCTACTGAAGAAAAGGATGTTGGAACTCTTATGAGTTCTCTCCTAGCTTTCTTTTTAATTCACATAGTGAGAGGGTGGAGTCCAGCTGTGTCCACTTGGCACATCAGCCACTGATTGGCCTATTGTACCTGCCCCGGATGATTATGATGATGAAGGATTTGCTGGAATGAAGATTGGCAGGGGAAACCGAAGTTCTCTGAGAAAACCTGTCCCAGTGTCACTTTGTCCACCACAAATCCCACGTGACCAGACCCAGCCTCGAACCTGGGCGGCCACGATGGGAAGCCAGCGACTGACCACTTGAGCTATGGCGTAGCCTTCTCTCCTAGCTTACATCAGATCCTGATTTTTCATGTGTGGTTTATTCTGTTTACTGCCTGCTTCTTGGTGCTTTCTTACCTGGCTCACTCTTCAACCCTAAAGACAGATGCAGTATGTTCCTAGGAAACATAAGTGGACTTCTACCAGACTACACGGCATTACACCCCAGAAGACAGTACCCCTCATAGTCACCAATGTGAGAACCTCAAATCCAAGAGGAATTTCTCATATCCCAAATATCTGAATATTCAGAATTTCCACAACTAGCTGAACCTGGCCAGTTTTCTTCTTCTTCCTTTTACATTTCCATTCTTATATGGACCATACACCACAACTATTTGACAGTAAAATAATAAGTACTTTATTAGTTATACCCTGATATATTCAACAGCAGTTACTCTGACAGTCTGTGTAATGTGTTCCCAAAGTTCGGTTCATATAACAAATTACAATAAGTACTATAGGAATGTATTCTTGGCCTTCACAACATATCTTTTCACATTGCAAAAATTTCAATGATTTCTGAAGATTGTTACTCTTCATGGTCACTGCTGTAAAAACGTCAAATCAAAGTTGATGACTTTCCTTATTCACATGATAAATACTTTTAGCCTCTGTCAGTATTAAAGAGAAACAAAAAGGCAAATTAAAAATGCTGCTAGCAATGTTATTTGCAATATTCTTATCACAGTTAATTTGACAGAAGCAAAAAATCACAGCTCACTCCTCTCTTCATGGAACTGAGCTGAAATACTTTGAAGTAAATGTTATTTTTATACAGCATATAAATTTTCAGCTGGTATTAGATTCAAAATATAAAATATAACTTCAATTACCTTTATGTACTCATACAAAAATGGATGGAGTCCATGCCACTATAAACTGGCACTAGCAAATTTTCTAGGAAAATTCTCCAACAAACTGTGCATTATGTTCTATCCACTGACCCCCAAGTAAGACCCAAGCTTTCAGTGGCTAAAGTTAACAAAAATCTTTCCAAGCCATCAGCTGTGTCAGATGTTTCAGGGACCACTTATGCCTCCATCATCAGAATGTGACGTGATTATGAATAAAAATCATCCTTTGTTTGGCTTGACCTTCTCTCTTGATTGCTGTATCTCTGTATTGCTTGATCATATCAGTCACAGGGTACCAGGATCAAAGTTTCTGGGATGAAGCCTCATCTAAACAACTTCCTTTATCAAGCTGTCCACATATCCTGTTGCTTTGCCAACTATGGAAGTGCTGCTCAAGTTGATATAGTGCCCTGTCTCAAGTCTATCCTCTACCACAACTGACTTCTCCTGATGGCCCAGATGTGTGTGTCTTATGTGACACTTACATCTGCTCTCAGTGGTTCTGCCCATCTGTCCAATATATCTCTTGCCGAACTTTCGAGGGATACTATACATACCTGTGACCTTGGACTCAGTTGGTCTCTTATGGGCCTAACGGCCTAAGCATATGGATAGTATCCTTCACTGGAATGTGACTGTCTTGATGATGTATTTGGGAGAAACCTGTTGATTTTGTTTGAGACAGCTTCTTTGTAGACTTCAGAGACCACCTGATGGCAGCAGACTACAAGTATCACCTCCAAGCCAGGATCCAGCTGCGCAATAAGATGTGGGAACTGCCCATATTCAAGCAATGATGCTTGCGTTGTCACACTTGCTGCAGCTGCTGTCCAACTGAGCCCTAGTTTGACTACCCAAGGACTCCATCTGGATGGAGGTAGCCCATGTTTTTATCAATGGAATGAAGGACCAGAAAGTGAAGCATCACCCCATGGGCCACAAGTGGCTGTTCAACAAAGCCCTCAACCAGACCCTGAAGCTAGAGGCTGCAATGGTGGTGAACAAATAACCAGCAAGGCTGTGGGAGATACAGGTTGGAGTCCCCTTGAGAATACAGTTGCCAGTGACTGAGCCCTAGTACTCAATGACCCACATGCTGGCAATGTGGGGATGTCAGTCATCTCAGAGCAGACTGTTGATAGAGAACTGGGTGAAGAGACTGACAAATATTCAAGAAACAAGAGTCAGCTTTGAGGGGGGAGTGTACCAGTACCATCCCCTCATTTCAGTCACCATACTAGCCATGAGTGACAACAGCTAACTACCAAGAGCTGGACATGGGACAAGCCCTACCACATGACCATCCTGACACCTCCAGACTGGTCAAGATGATGTCAAGTCAACCATATGTTCTGCAAATGGCATCTTGGGAGACCCTCCATGTCCTGAAGGAGGTAGTTGTGAAGCTGACTCTAGGATGAAGCATGCTACAAAGTACAGCTGCAAAGATCAAAGATGAGTTCATTTTGGGGGCCTAATGCATTGCATGCTTCTGGCTTGGCGGTGCATTTAAAGCACTATGTGCTGTAACTTGGCCAAAAGAGGTGTTGTTTTGGAATCCTAGGGCACGACCGCAATCATTCCTCCATATCCAAGTCAGTGACGAGGTGATACCATCTCAGTGTGGGGGTCATGATGGCATGGATGGAGGGTCCCTGGGTGGCAGTGAACAGTATAGCAAGATGAAGTCCAAAAGCTGCCCACCAAGAAGAACTGTGCAGGACCAGGATACTAGTTCAGGGCTTGATGATAGGTACCTATCAGGATGGCTGAACACTGACAAGGACAGAAGCATGCATAATTATGTGCCATCTCATGAATATCCTACCCAGAGGCATGTAATCACTACCAGAAAGTTGAACAATAGGCAAGCAGCCTGACTTATCACACTGCCACAGAAGGTACATACCTGGGCCCATGCTACCCTAAGAAGGAAGCACCTGGATGACATTAGGCCAATTCTACATGAAGCGGAGGAGAGAGTGTTCTTAGTGGAAGAACATTTCTGACGACAAGCGTTACTGGGCTTCACAGGAACTTCACAGTGCTAGGAGATGGCATGTTAGAGCACCATGAGTCAGCCTACTAACACGCCAACACAGTCCAAATAGATCTTCCCCACAGCAAGGCAAAGCAAATATTGGGAGAGCTCCATACAGGATCTTGGGAGGACAACTGGGTGACAACAAAACCCCAGACAGGATCAGACAGTGGTAGTATTAGCTGCATGAGGATGATGTTCAGATATGATGCCAACACCGTGACACCTGTATGGAAAATCAAGGTCTAAACCTAGAGCCTCATGCAACAGTAAGATGCTGAAACACCATTCAAGTAGACCTGCCACTGACACTGCACACTAGAAATTGTCCAAAGGATGACATGCTTATATAGTAACTGTAATCCCTCGGGAGGGGGTAGTTCACATCAGTAGAACAGGTGAAAAATTGAGTGCAGAACACAAGCAGACATGAAGTAGTCAGTACACCACAGACAATTCAGTTCAATGTAGTGCAGACAGAAGATGAAGGAAAAGGGAAGTGCAGTGACTGAGTAGTGGCATAACTGCAAAGTAATGAATGGAAAATGACTGGTCTCCAGAGCATCAAATTTAAGGATGATGAGGCAATATCTGTTAAAATGTACATAAACACTACAAATGACTATATAAAATTAAACAACAGAGCCTTAGATCTCAACATTATGAAGCAAGGACAACTTCAATTAATCAGTAATATCAACATAAAAACCTGCAGACTGTAGAAAATTTAAGAATGAGTCTCTTTACATAGCAGAATGATTACTTTAGGCATTCAGTTACAAACCTCCTGTTCACATTCACACAGAATAAACCAATGCAATGTTTCATAGTTTATTATTTCAATATACTAATTGTTAATTATTTACTTTATATTATAACATGTGACTTTCAATCATCTGTATGTTTAGAAATACATAACATAACGCTTGTGCTAATATATGATGCAGGTAACAGGTTATCCAAATTCAAGATTTTTGCAACACAGGTAGGCCTGGAAGTGCAAGTTATATAATGAGAATGTGCTGACGCTCAGCATAAAGATTGATGAAGACTGTTGATAATTACATCTTCAAGAACTGTAAACCAAATCATCTCAAGAAAATTACTCACTTTAAAAATAAACTGTCATACAGATGCCCTGAGGTACCAAGTTCTTAAACTTTATGGCTGAATTTGTCTGGTGATTCTAACTACAAAACTTAATTTAAAATTCTGAAGAAATAAATAAAATATTTTATTCTACTGTGCGGATATTAAATTCACACATTTCTGCTGGTCAGAACAATAACCAAAACTAGAAGACAACAATTTCACTGATACAATACCACTGAATTAAATGAAATTTAAATGAAGTCCGGAACTTTGACACGCCAGAAAAGAAGACTTAAACAGAAGTACACAGCACAGTCATTCAGTAAATGACATGAGTGACGGATGTACTGCATGTGGAGGTAACAGCTTCCTCTAGATTACTGTCCAGTTTTCTGTATGCTGAAGTATTCGGACGTCTTCTGGTACCCCTTCGTGATCTGCCTTCCAGTGCTAGGGCAAGAATCTGTGAAGTATGAATTATTTTAGTCTCAGAATATAATGAAAGCTGTATCTAATATCATAACTTGCACTAAAATAGCTACTCCACACCACATTTCCAAGGACTGGTCACATTAAACAGGCTGGAAAACAGTCCTGGCATATTCACTTTGTTAGTGCCACTTAATTTGTGAGATAACAGCATAAGAATTCCATTTGTTTAATTACCTTGAAAATCATTAAGATTTTTAGAAAAGTGTACTGGACAATACAATTAGTAGCGTAGTTGGTTGAGGCACTATGCTACAAGCCAGAAGGTCGCGGGTTCAAATCTCGATGAGGTCATTGGATTTTTTTCAACTGACCTAATCCTTCCAGCCGCACCATGGCACTCAGCCTCTAACAGAAATGAGTACCACAAATATTCTTGGAGCTAAAGGAGAGCCGGCATGTAAGGCTCACAACCTTGTCACCATTTATGAGCCAATGGTCTAGAAAATGTGGGAACCTCAACATCTCACAACCCTCACAGCCTGTGACTTTGACTTATTTTTCTCTACAACTTTACCTTGAAAATGTTTCACTCCATGCATGTATGCAGAAAAATACTTAGGTTCCCACTACTGCCACATGGTTTTAACCAAAACTGGAATTTTAGTGAAGGTTCCCACTACTGCCACATGGTTTTAACCAAAACTGGAATTTTAGTGAAACTCCATAATGTTAAATTTCATGAAAACTTGTTTAGCACTTCCCCAGTTGCTATATGCAGAAGATGGAGAGACACACACAGTGAAACTAAAGGGCACATTTTTGCAACTTCTATTGTGACCAAATCAATGATGACAATGAGTACCTTCTAACAGAAAGTAAAATATAAGATACAAAATAAAACAACTCCATAACAAATTCATGCAGATCATAGAGGCATGTCACTTTACATCTGTTGAGCATCATTCAAGACGAAAATAAATCAGACACAGAAACAGTGAAATGGAGACATTACATTATTCAAATCATTTTCATTCAAGGAAAAAATTTGGAAACATGTAGGTTCCAAAATTATATTAACCCACTGTGAACGGGGTTATCAGGTAGAGAAAAGTACATGGAAAATGGAATTATTTCTGGAAAAAATCAGGACATGATTAAAAAATATTCCACTGCCACCAAGATGCATGATGGATACCGTATTTGCAGAAATGTTACTGAGCCATTCTATGATAAGAGCACAAACTGAACATCACAGCCATATCTGACAAACAGTCTCATAATTACTGATTAACTTGGAAGACGGAATAATTCCACAAGCTGATCCTCAGTCCAACTAAGCATTATACAGTACTCATCCATAAATCACAGCTAATGGTTTAAAATAAAGAGAAACAAATGGTTGAAGAAAGCAGTCTTCTGGGATTTGGCACCGGGCATATGTGGTGTTAACCGACGTTTCGGAGGAACGTATCGCCTACACCTTCAGGGTAGAAGGAAAAATTTAAGAAATTCTCTTCGCTTGCAGATTTCTTATATTTTTCTTTCCACCCTGAAGATGGAGGCGATACGTTCCTCCGAAAAGTTGGTTAACACCACATATACATGGTGCCAAATCCCAGAAGATTGCTTTCTTCATAGTCATTGCCGTGAAAACCTCAAATCTTACAAACAAATGGTTTCTCATGAAATGGGTCTTTGACTTTAATAAGAAGCAAAGTGAAAGGATAGGGGAGGAGAGAAAGAAGTTCCTAGGAGCACTTCCATCTGAAATAAAAGAGTCACAATATGAAGCTGCCCACATATATCTACTTCTTATATACTTCCCATCCTTTCATGTCTTGGAGCACCGCCTAGGCACAGAGACAACTTAACATCTCTAATGTACAATAAGTAACAGCAATACATCAACTACTACAGTTACATTACAGTACTTACTTACTTACTTACCTATAGAGCTGAGCCCTTCTTGAGGAGAAGCCAAGTCTGCAACTACTCAAGAATTTCCCAGCATTTTATGGAACCTGAAGGTTCATTACCATGTTCACAAGAGCCCTCCACTGGTCCCTATCCTGAGCCAGATAAATCCAATCCATACCATCCCATCCTATCTCTCTGAGATCCATTCTAATATTGTTCACCCATCTATGCCTTCATCTTCCCAGTGGTCTCTTTCTTTCTGGCTTTCCCATAATATCCTACATGCATTCCTCTTGCCCTTATTCGTGCTACATGCCCTGCCCATCTCATTCTCCTTGACTTGATCATTCTAATTATACTTGGAGAAGAGTACAAGTTTAGAAGCTCCTCATTATGCAGTTTTCTCCAACCTCTCGTCATTTCATCCCTCTTCAGTCCAAATATTCTCCTCAACACCCTGTTCTCAAACACCCTCAGTCTATGTTCCTCCCTTAATGTCAGAGACAAAGTTTCACACCCATACAGAACAACAGGCAAAATCTGACAAAATAAGAAAGGATGGTGGCAGAAGAACTGTCATAATAAGATAATGAAAATAAGTGATCATTAATAATTATCTACAACAGCTGCAAAGCCAAGTCACATCATATTTCAGCATGTTCTGCACAATATACTCACTTGCAATGCAGTTACAATTCGATGCCTACAAGTTGGTGTCAGAATATTTTTAATAAGACTGTCAATGGATGTTCCCCCTTTAACCTCCCTAATATACTGGAGTTCAGGATAAGTACCACAGATCTGGTAGAACAAGATATCAACAAGATATTCCCCTTTTTTGCCAAAAGGCTGAAATTAATTTATTCAACAAAAAAACCTTCTATGTGTCAACCTTCAGCTTCTGCATATACCTTATACTCTGAGGGTATTTTTACACAAACACACAGCTACAGTCCTGAATTTGCAAATTGTATATATGGTTTTGTATGACTACAGCTTTAAACAGTTTGGATGTAGCATAAGCTTCTGATATACTAAAATATATCACTTTTATGTCACCTTTACACCCTGCTGCAAGCCTGTTACATAAAAGTTTCATTATTACTTTTTATAAGGCACTGTAAACCCAGGGTATATTCAGTGGCATCAACTCCAAAATCAATGCTTAAAAAATTACTGTGTGTAATATTTCCTGGTTAAGCTCAGCAGTTCAATTCTCCAGTACACCTAAACTTATCTTCAAAGTACCGAATCATTCATATATACTGTATCACAAACAAGGCCATGTGTGAAAAAATGGGCAATGCCTTTACCACAACAGGAGCTGCAGGCTAACCAAGCAGCATTGATGATCAGAAACAGCTAAATGCAGTTAACAATATGCTTGATTGCTTCTACTCTGCAGTGATGCTGACTGAAACAAACTTTACAACTGAGGAGAACAAGATATAGGTAATACAGAGAAACTGCAACAAATCTCCAAATTTCAGTAAAACTGCACTTATGAGGACCTCACAATATAAAATTTGGTGTATGCACTTATTCTGTCTTTACATAACCTTCCTTTTTGACACAAAATACAAGGTGCAACAATTTAATTCCCAGAACGTCCACAGCATGTCACTAGGTGTTGAGTCAGGCAAACTCATGTACCCACACAGACTGGACATGTTCCAACTTGTGTTTACATGAGCCACAAACCAAATGAATCATTCGTTCCCAAGCACCAGAGGAAGTAGTACATGTCCATGGTATATTGTTGGCGGAAAAATGAGCAAGAAGGACATGGAGCATCGGATAAACATAAAGTTTTATGTGAAGACTGGTAAAAGTGCTAGTGAAATGTTAGCCCTATTAACAATGGCTTATGGTGAATACACTATCAAGAAATCGAGTGTTTTTGAATGGCATAGGCAGTTCAAGGAAAGGCAAGATGTGCAAGATGACCCAAGAAGTGAGCAGCCAAAAACACAAAGGACAGATGTAAATGTGGACAGAGTATGAACCTTGGTGCCCTCAAATCAAAGATTAGGTGTAAGACTAATAACAGAAGAACTAAATACGAATAGGGAAACAATGCAACAGATTATTACAGATGATTTGGTAACGAGAAATATTTCCGCAAACATGGTGTCTCGAATATTGACAGATGACCAGAAACAACATCGGCTTCACATTTCATCTGATATTTTACACAATACAGATATGTCTGACATGGTCATTATTGGTGATGAAATGTGGTGTTTTCAATACAACCCAGAAAGAAAACGTCAGAGCATGCAGTTTAAAAACACAGAATTCACCTCAACCGAAAAAAGTACACATCTCACTTGAATGTCAAGACCATGCTTGTGTGTTTCTTCGATCACAAGGGGATAGTTCACTATGAATTCAGTGCATAAAAACAAACAGTGAATCAACAGTGTAACTTGGAAGTGCTGACACGTTTACAGGAATCTGTTTGGAGGAAAAGACCCAAACTCTGGCTTGACAAGTGGATTCTTCACCATGACAATGCCCCTGCGCATGATGTGTCAAGAGTTCACAAGTTCCTGGCCAAGAGATCCATTACAAAAATGGACCATCCACCTTATTCACTTGACTTAGCCCCATGCGATTTTTGGCTCTTTCCAAAATTAAAAAAATGCCCTGAAAGGACAAAGATTTTCTGACATTCCTGACATCCAACACTGTTACTGCGAGGTACACCATAACACGATTTTCAAGACTGTTTCTGGCAGTGGCACCAACGTCCCACAAAGTGCACAGCTCCACAAGGAGAGTATTTAAAAGGTGACACTAGCCGTTAGTGCATAGGTAAGTAAATTCTGTTTTCACAGGGCCATTCCAGGAATTAAACTGTTGCACCATGTACATCTAGCCAGCTGCCATAACATGGAAAAGAATGAATGAATCTAACTTCCATACCTTTTGTTTATTATGGAATACCAAATACCCAATGATGCAGATTACCACCATTGTCATAAAATATGCATAAAAGTGAGAATCTTCTGCATCTCCTAATTGGTTAAATTGGGCAGTGTTGCCATTTGCTGCTTCTTCTTGGTGTTCATTTTCTTTTGGGATTTCTTCACCCCCTTCACCTTGTTCAGTCTGTTCAGCCTGTTCATCCTGTTCAGCCTGTTCACTTTGTTCAATCTGGTCCACTGGAACAAAGAAGAAAACAAATTCCTTTCTTGGCTTTGTCAAATCTTTTAGAATAAGATTATAAAATATTCCTTAAATAGTAACTATAATAAACAAACGACCTGCATAAAGAAACCTGAAGCACATCACTACAATGAAGCATCAAAACCCTACAGTTTTTTCCTGACCTTACAGAAAAAAAAATGTATATAAATATTATTTGTAAAATAAAATGTAATCTGAACAATTGGTCATGACAATAAAATGGTGAAGTGAAGAGATTTTTATTTATGATGATGAATTGATGTGGCCTGTGACAAGTCATCCATTAGATTTTAGTATCATTCCATTTTACAAAATGGCGCTGAAATATGAGCAGTACTCTTGGAGATGAAATATGCTGGCATAACTTCCCCATTATGCATCCATTTCATATATTTTGAGGAAAATTGACATGAAAACCACATATCCTAAGCACGGGCCATGTTTGTGAACCACATAGTATGTTACTTCATACAGTTTATTAAAGATAACACCATTTACAATCCAAACCATTTCTAGCGACTGCTAAATATACCATTATTCTTAACGGTTTCATCTGTTGTTAATAGATTTTATAATCTTACAAGAGATTATTTTGACTTTATGACAGCTAAATATACTACCTAACTCCATAAGCAGTGTCTTTCTTGAGCAGTTAATAACCACACCCTGTCTTTGGCCAAATGAAATCAATTCCATCATCACACCCTAATTCTTTACAAGACATTTTAAATCATCGCCCCATATAAATCCTAGGTCAACTATTTTTTTTTATTGCTAGTGGGACGGGACTAAGTGCCTTGTACTGTGGCCACTTCTGGCCTATTGTACCAGCCCAAGATGATAGGTGAAGGTGATTGTGGAGCAACTGATGGAATGAAGATTGGCAGGGGAAACCAAAGTACTCAGAGAAAATCTGCCCCAGTGCCACTTCGTCCACCACAAATCCCACTTGACCAGACCCGGGGTCGAACCCAGGCCACCACAGTGGGAGGCCTGCGACTAACCACTTGAGCTATGGCGCAGCCTTATATACATTATAAATATCCTTCAAATTAAATGACTTCATGCTCAAATGGTTCACATAACCCCATCACACTGCAGTCCCAATCTGATACTTCTTAAAAATAATTACATGATCATGTTCTCCTTTTTTAATTAAAACTCTGCAGTTTGAGAAATGCAAGGTCAAATTAAAATTTAAAGAAATTGAGAAAGCAACTCTGCTGAACATGTGGGGCGGCATAATGTAACTCTACTGAACATACTGGGGTGATAGGTCTTTAGAAAGAACATTTTATTATATTACAGTTATTCATTGCTTCATTGTAATCTGATGGAACTGGTGCCACTATGTTAAAGCATTCCTTTTAAGAGTTTATGAGGGTAAACAGTAGCGTAGTTGGTTGAGGCACTATGATACAAGCCAGAAGGTCGTGGGATCAAATTCTGATGAGGTGGATTTTTTTTCAATTTACCTAATCCTTCCAGCTGGCATTATGGTCCTGGGGTCAAATGAGCCTCTAATAGAAATGAGTACCAGGAATATTCTTGGGCGTAAAAGGCGGCCAGCACATAAGGCTGACAACCTTACCACCATCTATGAGCCGACTGCCTAGAAAATGTGGGAACCTCTACATCTCACAACCGTATGGGCCTCCACAGCCTGTTATAGAGATACCTTTATTTTACTGATGTAAAAATATATATAAACCGATTCATTCCAGTATCATTGTTTTGTCATGAAAAGTCTGAATTCACATATCCTTCTGGGTGAATGCAAGTCAATAATCTCAGTGGTAAGTTTCATCCACTTAAGATTTTATTTAGTTTAGTGTTCAAATTCGCTGTTCTCCTCCCCCTTCCCCCCACACAAAAAAAAACCTTCAACAGGAATTTTAATTTACTATACCTTTTATCACAGTTTTAAACACTGTCTACATAACTTGGAGAGATACCTAAAAAATACACTGTTTTAGTATAGAAGTAAATAAAGATCTATACAAATATTCCCTAGTGCAGATTCTCTGTAAATGTGCATGAAAATATCCAACATAAATACACACTCAATACAAAAAATATGTAGAGCACTTACCTGGAATTTCCACATTTGTACTATCTTCACTCTGTTCATGTTCATCATCATTTGCCTTGTTATATACCATGTCAGTATTTTGTGATTTGTTGTATTTCTTTTCGGTGGGCACAACAGACTCCTTATTATCAACATTCTTGTTCTGGTCTTCTGGATTTGTCAAATCAACACCACCAGAGGGCTTGTATTTCTTTTCGTTGGGCAGAACAGACTCCTTACTATCAACATTCTTGTTCTGTGCTTCTGGATTTGTCAAATCAACACCACCAGAGTGCTTGTATTTCTTTTCATTGGGCAGAACAGACTCCTTATTATCAACATTCTTGTTCTGTGCTTCTGGAGTCGTCAAATCAACACCACCAGAGGGCTTGTATTTCTTTTCGTTGGGCAGAACAGACTCCTTATTATCAACACTGTTTTGCGCTTCTGGATTTGGCAAATCAACACCACCAGAGGGCTTGTATTTCTTTTCATTGGGCAGAACAGACTCCTTACTATCAACATTGTTTTGCGCTTCTGCATTTGGCAAATCAACACCACCAGAGGGCTTGTATTTCTTTTCATTGGGCAGAACAGACTCCTTATTATCAACATTCTTGTTCTGTGCTTCTGGAGTTGTCAAATCAACACCACCAGAGGGTTTGTTTTCAGATATTGATGCTGCACTGCCCTTTGATTCTGGATCGGCAGTCTTTTCTGAGCTTCCTTCATGTTTCTCAGCTCCTAATCCAAGTTTAGTATTTTTATTAAGTGAAGATGTAGTATTGATGCCAGTTACTTCATCTGAATGGTTATTACTCTTCTTGATATGGATCTCTTTTGTAACATTAGTTTGCATATCAACAGCTGAATTTGACTTAGTGATGTCAGCATTTGCTTCAGAGTGGTTATGAAGAGGCTTATGACCAGCAATCTTATGAGTTACTTGGGTCTTCTTGTCATTATGAGCCGTTTCTGTTTGTTCTTGCTTTCGTTTTGATAGTTCTGGGCCAGCTGCAGAGGTTGGGTCACCAGTTTCTTTCTGGAAGTCTTTGGCTTTCTTAATACTTGTCTCATTTTCTTTTCCATGGCCCTGTGACTTTACTTGAGATTCAGGATTTCCACTAAGCGATATATCTGAAACCAAGCATTCATTTCAAACAAATTCAAACTCCAAAACAAACTTCATTTACAGAAACATAAGAAATGATATATGAGAGGATTAAGTATACAGTAAAAAATTAAAAACTTTGGATTAAAGGAAAGGAAGAACAGGAAAACCTCCTTTACTAAGATTGTTACCAAAACAGAGATCATCCCTGTTACTACACCAAAACGAACTTATGAGGTAACAAGCATTTTAGGAATGAAGTTATAATTTGTCATGTGTAAATATTCCATTAATTTCACTCATCACCTGATAATTAATATCAAACCAGATGAGATGGCATCAGGTTTTTTATACCTTGTATATTATTTGCAAGGAAATGTTTTATGAAACAGATTTTTGGCATTTAACTTAATTTAATCATTTTACTCAAAGTGACTGGCAATTTTGCCTGTTTTACCAAGAACAACTTAAATTTCCATGAAACATCAATATTCTGCTTTAAAGATGTCTACTGTCAAAGTCCCGCCCCGTCCCATTCCCATGCACTGTACAAGTACAAAGTTAGTGAATAACTTCTGGATAATGCAGGGAATAAGAATATCTTGTAAAAAGAAAAATATCCCTCACATCCTTACTAGAAATTGAAACTGCACATTACTAAAAAAATATTACAATCAATATTGCACCATCCTACGGAAAATCATGAGAAATACAGAATATAATTATTATAACAGCTTATTAATGACAGTTACAAACAGATCTAAAACAACTTGGAGCATTGTAAACAATGAAATGGGAAAAGTAAAAAATAATAAAAACATGCCTTTAATTTTCTCATCAAGCAACTCTTGTATTCAACTGGATTTAGCAGCTGAAGCTTTTTATAATTATTTTTAGGTGCAGTTTAGAAACTGAATATTGGAAAGGGTAACATTTATTCTGCCCTTTTATCCCTTAATAATTCTTCCTCCAAAGATTTTCCTGTTATAATTATTCCAATAACTGAATCTGAAGCTATTATTACACTTTCATCCTTAAAGAATAACAGCTAAAAACGATATGATGGTATTTCAAATAGAATCTTAAGATTCTGTGGAAATTCCTTGGTAAACCTTTAGCATATTTTTTCTTAATAAATCCTTAACAGTAGGTAAATTTCCAGATCATTTGAAATATTCAGTTGTTAACCCATTATTTAAAAAAGGAAGGAAGTCTGAATTAACTAACTACAGACCTATTTCCTTGCTCACCTGTTTTTCAAAGGGTTTTTAACTACTGATTTATTGTAGGCTTAATCAGTATTTCCATATTCACAATATCTTTGTTAATGCTAAACATAAACTTACTGAAATTATTTTAAATGCTTGAAACAACAGATACATTGCATTTGGACCTGAGTAAGCGTTTGATTGTGTAAATCACGAATTACTGCTAAAACAAATGCAATTTTACAGTGTCAAAGCTTACTGTTAGTTGTTTAAGTCATACTTGTACAATGGTAAACAAAGAATGGAACTGAAGTTTTCAGGTACATGTAATTATCCTTCATCTTGAAAAACTATTAAATCTGGGGTACCTCAGGGATCAGTATGGGGGCCACATCTTCTTAACTTCATATTAATAATGTTGCAGGTTTATTTGATAACAACTCTGAGATAATATTGTGACAGCCCAAACCTTTTACAACTCTTCAAGGGATGCTATGGTCCTCTTTAGCCATTTCAGTGGGGTGACTGATTTATTGGGGAGACCGATTCATTAGCATGTTATGACTTGCTTTTCACATTTGGACAGAAACAACTGCCTTGTTTTGTTACCTGCAGCTTGGGTGACCGGAAAAGGGATGAGGCCACCACGGGAGACAAGTCTGTAGTTTGCCGAAGATGTAAATTTTGTTTTGCTGATAGTGTAGCTGTTATAAAAGTGTCTTCGGAAGGGTGTAATTGGACCTTAAACTAAGAAACAACCGCTTTCACATGTGGGGTACCAGGTTCTATATCTTTGGATATCTTTATTCTCAAAGTTCGTTATGTGATTGTCTAGTGCTGATTGCATGATGGATTTGGCCAGTTAAAATCAGCCAATACGAAACTATACTTGTCTGGGAGAGAGGCCGTCAATTCAAATCCTATACAGCCTTGACTGACAGAGGCCCTGTATATATTTCGTATAAAGATATTAACGTATTTAATATGAAAAATGTAAATATCCTTTACATTATGACAAATGACTCACTACTACAGACAATGACTCAGTACATCAGATTTTGCCCTATTTCTAGTAGCTTCCGCTATAGTCTAGTATAGTCTAGTATAGTCTAGTCTAGTCTAGTCTAGTCACTTAATCGGTCATATGCCTGACTACCCCCCCAAGTATAAGCATCTTACACTTTCTATGTTGGGCTTCTCCTTGCCCAGCATTACGTTTCGTTATCACGGTTTTGACTTCCACTTGCCGCCTGCATAATTTTGTTATGTACTCGGTTGGTCATGTAATATAGCCTCAGAGCAGACCCATAGCAAACACCACTTCTGACAGTACTTCCACAGTTGCACACGAGCGACTGCCTAGCAACAGCTCCAGTACCATTGTGTATTTACTAAGCTGTTGCCTAGCAATGACCGTTGTCTCGTTGTTTGTTTCATGGCCATTGCCTAGCAATGGATCTATATGCCACAATATCTTCTATAAGATTCACAATTTTTTTGTCTGAACATCACAGAATTCTTTTTCTCAGTAATGGTAACAATTCTGCTCTAACACTATTGGTAACCTAACAACATTTTAAATTTTGTAGTGTCACATTTTACTTACAACACATGTATACACACAAAGCCCATGTTACATACACAACTTCAATTAAAATGAATAAAATTGATGTACACAATGATAACAGTATGTGCAACTTGCATTCTTTTAAGTGAAGGAGGAGGTTCTTATATAGCCTAACACAACATAACTACAACAGCTATTTTTTTTCGGTTTGACAAATGCACTACTACAATGGATTTAAAGTCACTAACCAGAGTTTTAGCTACACCCACTCACCTCATTCCAAGCTGCATGCATGTAAACACACTAAAACAAACAACACTATAATGAATCAAACAAAATTATACCAAATCATACCACACTATAGAGCACTGCAGAAACTTATCCTTATGGCACAGGCCTAATTTAAGACATCCACGCCATTCCCTTCCTTATAACAGATACCTCAATCATAAAAGAAACCATCATCACTAATCAATGTTGTAATGATTTATGAACTTCAGTATCTTTGTGCCATTTTATCTCACCCTCTTATAAGTCCCACATGCAACAGACATTTCTAATCCAGCTTATAATCATCAGACATGCAGCTTGCACATATCCCTACACAACTTCCATCATTAAAAGCACATATCAACACAAACCACTGGTAGTAAGCTCTTCATCCTTCTCTATAGCAAATTTGTTGTGCAATGATATAGTGGGCCGGGTACCACATGCAATCAAGCAAGACAGACATTGGTAGAATCGGGCACACATATAACAGTCACAAAAAAAAAATGTAACTCACCTTCATTATTAGTCACTGTGAACATATTTGCTGACAAAATATACATACAAATTGGATTGATTAAAGTATCCTGTAAACACGCCTGTTCACAATTAGAAATATTTTCGAATTTGGCCTTGAGGAATGATACAAAGGGTCTCGCTAACTCAGTAGATGGTGCTGGAAGTGTCTTATTAATTTCATTACAGAAAACATCACTACTGATGTTCTGTTTCAAATTAGTAACTTCTTCATTATTTGGTTTATCTTCATGATCTTTCATTTTACAAACACGATCGGCCGATTCGTACAAAACCATACATAAGGCCAAACCGTAATCGACGTATTTGTGTGTGTCGGTTGGCGCTGAAATGGGCCTATCACAATATGATAAATATTCTGAATAGAAAGAAAGTTTCGATATTAAAACCTTATATGCTGTACAATTTCCCGCATCATTTATGAGTGACAGTATGTTTGACTTGTGATTCACGCTGGAACTATTTGTCTGAAGGTGTTGTTGGAGTGGCTGCGATATACTAGCACAATACTCGGATTGTGCTAACAAGAACATTATGAAAACCTGTATATACATGGTCACCTTCGTACAACCTATTATTTACCAGTTCAAAATATTCCACAACCATGCAGACAGACACTATAATTAAATCACATTTCTTTCTCACGTGAAATACACTACATTAACTACGAATCATCCAAAACTCAACACCCCTCACACCCACAATACGCACAATACTATCAACATGCCCAACCTGCTAATTTTTTCCAATGCCAACAGAGTAGCCAACATATATACAAACCACGGAGAATACTATATAGGTCACTTAATCAGGGTGATCTAAATATCGGCCGCAGAGGGCTCCCGGCAATTTAAAAGTCCGTACGTTAAAGGTTAATGGATAAAACGTTGCATGATGTTGATAAGTGGTATGCCTAAACAATTACTGCTGCCAGTTCTAGCACCCTTCATGTAAATTTGTACAGTAAGACTCCTTCCAATGTTCAGGAAATTCTTCCTTATTGCAACAGAATTAATGGGTTTATGGATCTTAGAAAACGTAATGTTTCATCTTCTACTTGAATTAATTCAGTCAGAATTTCATTACTAACTCGCGATGTATATTGTCTAAAATATGAAATAGCAATTTCTGCCTCAGGAGGATTAGGCTTAAGTAGGAATGGCTCCAATGAATTTCTACCTGCCTAATGTCATTGACCCTATGTCCATTGAATACCTGAGAGAAGTAATTCTTCCACATATTCAATATACTGTGGCAATTTACAAGCAGATCACCATTCTCATCCTTTACAAGTTACTTCTAGGTTGATAATTCTACTTTAATTCATTTATTGCTCTATACAAACCTGTAACATAGTTAACAGAGCCTTTGAAAATGGTGCACAGTTCAAATATTTGGGAACAACCATAGCAAATCAAAATTTGATTCAGGAGGAAATTAAGAGGTGACTGAATTCGTGTAATTCTTGCTACCAATCAGCCCAATTGTCTTCTCATCTGCTGTCCGAAAACGTAAAAATGAGAACATACAAAACTATAATTTTGCCAGTGGTTTTGTACAGGTGTGAAACTGTCTCTGACATTAAGATGAAGTGACAGAAGGTTGGAGAAAATTGCATAATGAGGAGCTTCCTAACTTGTACTCTTTGTCAAGTACAATTGGAATGATCAAGTCAAGGAGGATGAGATAGGCAGGGCATGTAGCATGAATGAGGAGAGTAATGCATACTGGATATTGGTGGGAAAGCCAGAAAGAAAGAGACCACTAGGAATACCAAGATATAGGTGGGTGGATAATATTAAAATGAATCTTAGAGAGAAAGGATGGGATGGTATGGACTGGATTGATCTGTCTGAGGACAGGGACCAGTGCAGAGCTCTTGTGAACACAGTACTGAAGCACTGAGTTCCATAAAATGTTGCTAAGTTCTTGAGTAGCTGCATAACTGGCAGCTTCTCAAGAATTGCTCAGCTCCATGAAGTTGGTTAGTTACATAAGTATCTAATGTACTTGTTCTTACTGTGTTGCAAGCAAGTTACCCTCTTTTTGTTCCTAAAATGCCTGCTAGCTTCACATCTCACTAAGCCATGAAGAGGAGTCAGGTATACCAAAGTGTGTATAGCAACAGGCAATAGGTTGGGCAGCCCAGGCTCAATTCCTGGGAGTGCAACAGTCCAGATCTATTGTGGGGTGCAACCAGCCTCCTATGCAATGGGTACTGGTGAATCTTTCTCTTAAGGGGTAGGGGAAAGTGACAGGGGCTTGTAGCTGACCACTCACCTTCGTCTATTGCCAAGTTCAAGAAAGGTGGAACAATACCTCCACTCCCCCACATCTTTATGGCAAAATGTCTAACTACTTAAGCACAGGCAGAACTTTGCCTTTGCCTACGCACTGATTACAGAGCAATTAACATATTCACCAACAATCTCATCAAGTTATCAGTTAAAGCTTACCATGTGTCACTGCTTATTCAATCATAAAAGAATTTATTACACTGGCATAAAACAGGAGAAAAATAAACTTTTTACCTATTAGACTTGGGGGGGGCACGCGGTAGCATAGTTGGTTGAGGCATTATGCTACAAGCCGAAGGTCACGGGATCAAATCCTGATGAGGTGGATTTTTAAATTTACCTAATCCTTCAAGTCGCAATATGGCCCTGTGGTTAACTCAGCCTCTAACAGAAATGAGTACCATGAATATTCTGGGAATATTCTTGGCGGTAAAGGGCAGCCGGCATATTAGGCTGACAACCTTACCGCCATTTATGAGCCATTGTCTAGAAAATGTGGGAACCTCGACCTCTCACAACCCTATGGGCCTCCACGACCTGTTACAGGGATACCTTTACTTCACTTTACCTATTAGATTTGAGGTTACGACAGCAAGGCCTACAAACAGTCTTTTAGTATATGATGCCAGGCAGTCTAGTAGAAGTGTCCTCTGAAACACTGGTACACTCGTACCAGACTACAGAGCCTACAGAGAGCATTATATCCAAGTACGTAGTTTGTACTCTTCATTTTTATCCTCTTTCCTTGTCCTTTTGTAAATGACAAACTAATATTCAATCAGAAGGAATGTGAAATAAGCAGAATATTTATGGGAGAATCAGCATGAAGGTATAAGAACAGTACTCAAATTACCTACACAATTATTTTACATTAGGTTATATTTTATTTCACAAAAACATCACAGCTTTAGTAATTTCTCATATACACTGTTGTACACAAAATGTAGTATGCCCAAAACAGAAATGATGTGCGCTAAATATAGTTACCTTAAATGGAAATTAACTTAGAAAAGGAATATTTAAATTACTTGAAGTGTTTAATGAACTTCATCATGACAGAGTATATGAATATAAGGCAAAATAAATTAAGGAATAAACATTCATATAGCTCTATTTAACATGGTGAGAGCAATGTGTCCTATTGATATTCTCATAGCAAAAAGGAAAGCAGTGCCAATGTATGCTAGTGTGCGTGTGTGTGTGTGTGCAGTTAATTTTTCACTGAAAGAGCACTCTTTTTATGTTGTCAGTCAGCATCATTACTGCAAAGTTATTCCATAATTTCACTGTCACCTACAACACTGCTTCTTCAGCTGCCCCAAAGGAGCACATGTGCACACACACACTCTATGCTAACCACACGTCAGCTCAGTGTTTTTAACATGTCATACCAATTAGTGAGCAACTTCTATGTCAGGTAACAAAATAAATTACGTGAACACCACAGCTCCATAAAAATCAAGTGATCAGAAACACAAAGTTGTTACTTTACACTTGTAGGATAAATTCATTGCTGACGCAATTAGATTTTTTGTAATGCATGAATTTTCCCCCACAGTATTTTGCAACAGTGAATATTCTGGCTTCAGAACGTTGATCATGTTCCTGAAAATATCTCCTGCCAAACTCTCCTGGACCTGAATACACTATTATTCATCTGTTCAAAATAATAAGTATCAGTATTCCAAACTGATAATCATAAATATCAGCAAGCATTCTTATCATCTGAGAGTCATTAATACAAAAGTAAGTATATCTGATCAACCTGTGCTGCCTTAGGCTGGGGCCACACGAGCACACGAAGTATGTCCGTTGAAACGAACGTACTTTATGACAGACGTTACCAAGGACACCACACAGTTGAAGAATATGGTGCATAGTTTTTTGTCTGCAATGGAACCAGAAGAAAGCGTAGCATTTGCCTCTCGTTTATTTCTACAATGGACGTCATGACGTCCATTACAACGGATGCATTTTGTGCGCTCGTGTGGCCCCAGCCTTAAAAGTATTAAATATTTAACAGGGATATGAACACTAATTTGCTTAACGTAAATTAAAGTTTAGTGTTTAAATTCAACATCATAAAATGAGCATTAATGATAGTGCANTGTATCAGTATTCCAAACTGATAAGCTAACTGGTGTGAAAATACTTGCTACTTTTACTTATATGACATTACACATATGTCTGAACCAAGCTGCATGGATGTCATTTTAAATAATGATGAAAAAAATGAAATGGGTAAAGTGAAGGAATCCCTTTAAAAGTGGCATGAAATGATTTCAACATATACATATTATGTAAAGTGTCCACTACACTGATATCTACTGTTAAGTATCAGTGCTTAAACTGAAGTAAGACTGTTCCGGAATGAAAATTTAATACCATTAACATTAGAATCAAATTTCAGGAAAGAAAAACAACTGCTCGCCTGGACACATAAAACATTTTAATATTAGAATATTTCAGTTATCACTAGTTTCCAGCCCCCTCCCCCCAAGAGAATAAGTGTAATATGCTTTCATTTTTATTACAGAAAATACCTGTATTCTGTATCAATTACTTTAAAGGCTAACACAATATGATTTTTTTCTGAAGTTCCTTAGGTCCTCCTACAAAATCCTATTGCAAAGAAAACTGTATCCACTGAAGGATGCAATAAACTCACAAGTGGATTTTATTTCTGCAATACTGACAATTGTATGCCTTTGCTAAAGCAAATAATACACAATTTGTTTGCAAGCAGGCCAAGAACATGTTATATACAAGATAAATGGTAACAGAACTTGGAAAGTGTATGCTGACAAGAAAAGCACATGGCTGTATAAGCAGTCCTCCTTAAGAACTGTTCTTTCTAATCATAAAATGAAAATGCCAGCCTAAGGTAACATAACCATATCTTGGGCAGTGCCCATATATAAACATAGGTAGTCAGGACAACTAATGCGATGTCTACAACTCATTAATTCTGTGCTATTCATCCACACTCAACGAAGACAAGCCACAATTTCAGTCCAAGTCTCCTGTTGTATTATTATTTCGATTTCTTGTTTATGACTTGTGCCTCGTCCATATCCTCCCGACTCATGTCTTTGTCACCCCAACCCCAAATTTCATGACTACCATCTCCTGTGCGTTCAACCCGCCTTTTCACCATAGACATCGGCACAGTCTTCAGGTCATATGCCCATCCAATGCGTGAAAAGAAGTCAATTAAAGCAGTTGTCATGTTGGTATGATAGTTGCCTAGTTCAGCAGTTTTGTAGTCCCAAGGAAACACATGGTGATAATTATGCCAACCTTCACCAAGAGCAAACACTGCTACACTCACATTTTCTGCTGGATTAATGAACCTGAAAGCAGAAGACACTGTCAAAAAACATCATAGCTAAGAACTGTCATACTTGGGTAACTAACTCCATGGAGCTCAAACTTTCTTGAGAAGCCAGTAGTTGCTCAGCCACTCAAGAAATTCCCCACACTTTATGGAAACTGTGGGTTCATTACCATGTTCACAAGAGCACATCTCTAGTTATCTAGCCTACGCGAAATGCATCCAGCCCACACTCCATCCTATTTTTCTAAGATTCATTTTAATATTGCCCTCCCATCTATGTCCAGGTCTTCCCAGTGGTCTCTATCCTTCAAGTTTTCCTATCAAAACTTTGTATGCCCTTCTTATCTCATCCTTCTTGATGTGATCATTTTAATAATACCTGGCAAGGAGTACATTGCAAAGCTCCTCATTATTATTTTTTTCCCCATCCTTCCATTATTTCATTCTTCTTAGGTCCAAATATACTCCTCAGCAGCCGCTTCTCAAACACCCTCAAGTCTCTGTCCATCCCTTAATGTAAGAGACAAAGTTTTCATGCCCATACAAAATGGGCATAATTGCAGTTTTGTATATTTCTTTCTTTAAGTTATTAGACAGAAGACAAGATGAAAGAAGTCTGGGGAAGAACTGATCGTCTACTAGCCTTTGATACGGGCCAAATAGAAAATGATGCCTCCAACAGTTCTGTTGCCATTGGACCATCTTTAGCGAGTTGTTACCTAGCAATGACAGGGGGATACACTTTACCTAACGTTTGCCTAGCAATGACAAGAGGGATACACATAGAGACACAAAACAGATGGGAGGGATTTATGGAATACACCACTGAGATTGGCTCAGGTGTCATAAATCCCAAGTTTCATAAAGACTGGTTCAGGCATTCAAAAGTTAACAAGGGGGATTAACAGACACATGCACATAGCATGAAGATCATGTAAGTGTAGTTCCATGTTTTCAAAATAAGAAAAGTAAGTTAAAACAGCTTTGAATCTTTTGGATCTTCTTGTTTTATACAGTATTTATGTTATCTCCCAATCAATTATCATTAGCATAGACCACAAACTGATGTGTTCCATCCAATTTCAACCCTATCTGATTTCTTGGACCTTCCTAATGATGCATTTTAAAGAAAAGCTGAAAAGCAATGGCAATAAAGCATCTCCTTTTGCTAGGCCTAGGGTCTCCAAACTATGGCCCGTGATGTGATTTTATCTGGCCCGCGAAAGAATTGTGCAGAAATGCACCAATTGAACTAATTTTCCAGTGAGTACTGGTAAATGTGATTCCGAGCTTACTGACCTGACATATTATACTGCAGTTTGATGGCTTAGCTGTGGAAAGGTTCTTTTGCACTTCTTTCAGCTCAAGAATAAAATTGATATATTTCTTACCAAGAAAAACCATCACAAACCACTTTTATCAGATACCGAGTGGCTTTGGAAATTAGCATTTTTTGCTGATATGGTGAACCATATGAACCATTTGAATTTAAAGTTGCAGGGTGAAAATAACTTTGTCTGTGATTTATTTGCACTTATCAAGGCATTCAGAGTAAAGTTGATACTTCTGGAAAGTCAAGTGAAAAATTGTAACTTTGTTCATATGCTATACCGTGCAGAGTTGCATAAAAAGGATGAAGCAGAATTTCCTTCCTCGTTTGAAAATTTAGTCATTTCAGATTTGAAGGAACAATTCTGGAAGCAAATTCCTGATTTTGATTCCAGTGCTCAGGAAATTAGATTGTTTCAAAATCCATTTGACTGTGATGCTGCAGATGTCCCAAGTCAAATTCAAATGGAAATTATTGAACTTCAGGAAAATTATCATATTAAAGGCAAATACAAGGAAGGAAATTTGATCAAATTTTATAAATTTCTGAACTCTGAGCAATTTCCAAATTTAAAGAAATTTGCTTGTAAATTTATCTCCATTTTTGGGACCACATATCTGTGTGAACAAACTTTTTCCCAGATGAATTACATCAAGTCGAAATACAGGACAAATTTATCCAATGAACATTTAAAGTCGCTACTTGTGATTAGCGTTTCAAAATTTGAACCTCAATTTGACTCCATTATCATTATTAATTTGCCATAAATTTTTGTTCCCAATTGTTGGTTTGAAAATATTTTGCACTGAAATCTCCTAACAGAATTTTCATATGGTATTTAGGAACCTGATCTAGTCCCACACAGAAGATGTCCTTTGTATCATGAGTTTATTCTCCACTAAGGCATGACTTAAGAACAATGGTATTATAGCAGCAACCTCTTAGTGTTACGTTGACATCCTATTGCTAACGAACTCTACCCTACTGCCAATAAGATTACCTTATGTATACATCTGGCTTGCAAAGAAAAATGAATGCACAACTGGCTGAATGACCATTAGTCAATATGCAGCTGCTGATTAAATTATTATAATATTGATACAAAATCTGACTGCTCATTACTTTCATGAGGTAAGCCTGGCATTGGTCTGCTTTCCATCCATTTCACAGATTTTCCCTTTTATTTTCTTTTAAAATATACAACTTTACCACAAAATACCTCTTTTCTTAAGATTCTATACCTAGCATTTTTATCATGTTCATTTCCTCCATGCTATGTGCATATCTCAGAATCACTGATGACAACAGAAACAAAACACATTAAAATTAAAGAAGGAATAATTCTAAAAGTTACTTGTTGTACAGTGTGTCCACAAAGTGTCTTTGGGGTTTTGAAAAATGTGGCACGCAAACAAATTGAGCTAGCCGTATGTGGTTTGCGGCAGATCGTAGTGAAACTCTGGAAGTTTTCTTCTGCTGCCAACAAGATGCCATAAGCGGCCACGTTTACTTTTCTCAGTCAGTTGTTTGTGAAATGGCGACTCTGCTGGAACACGCGCATTGTGTAGGATGGCTTTTTGAGACAAAATCAGTCACAGAGACTCAACAAAATTACCGCACACAGTTCAATAAGCAACCTCTGAGTGACAAAGTAATAAGAGACTGGCAATGGCGTTTCTTAGAAACTGGGAGCGTACATGATTGCAAGTGAAGTGACAGACCGGGTGTAAGGGATGAATGTGTGGAAAGAATCCATGAATCGTTTGTACAAAGCCCTACAAAATCCACACGTTGAGCTTTGCATGAATTGTTACTCCCACGTTCAACGATACACAAAGTGCTGCATAAGAGGTTGAGGTTGTGTGCACACAAGGTTCAGTTAGTGAAACAGTTACAACCTGCTGATGGCATGGCACATCAACATTTCGCAGAAGAGATGCTTGACAGCATTGACCTTGATGTGGACTTCTTGAAAAAAATCATGTTCACAGACAAGGCAACATTTCATGTCTTGGGTAAAGTTCACAGGTATCATGTGTGCATACATGTCACTGAAAACCCATGTTAGGGAGCACATATGCGATAGTCCAAAAGTGAACGTGTGCTGCGGCATAATGCATGACCAGGTTATTGGACCCTCTATTTTTTCAAGAGCAGACGATCAACATGAACACCAACCTGGACATTCTGCAACTGTACGCAGTAGTACAAACTGAGCACTTACAGCCATACATCATTCTTTAACAAGATGGTGATCCACCTCATTGGGGTCTGAAGGTACACACATTCCTAGGAAGGACATTTCCAGAAAGATGGATCGGCAGATATGGTCCAATGACTTGGCCTCCATGTTCACCAGACATAGCACCAATGGATTTTTTTCCTGTGGGGTTATATCAAGAACAGTGCATTCCGAACACCAGTTAATGGACTTGATGACCTGAAGATCCGTATCAGGAATGCCATCTCATCTATTCCAGCAGACATGCTCCACAGAACATGGCAAGAGCTCAAATGTTGTCTGGACGTTCTCCGTGCTACCAAGGGAGCTCACACTGAGGTCTACTGTGGTCAGTAAAAAACTTCCAGAGTTTCATTATGATCTGCCGCAAACCACATGTGGCTAGCTAAATTTGTTTGCGTGCCACAAATTTTCAAAACCCCGAAGGGACTTTGTGGACACTATATATTTTTTTTTATTTTATTTTTAACCTCTTTCCTAAAGTATGGTTATGCAATCTCCATGCTGACTGTGGATCCCCCCCATCAACTTTCACATGCATGAACTGATGTTTTTAAACTTGGTATGCTTATCATGACAACTGAACCCATCTCAATGGCATACTTCATAAATCCCTCCCATCAGTCGGTGTGTGTATCTCTCCTATTGTTGTAAGGCAATGGCTTGGTTAAGTGTATCCCTCTTTCAATGATGGGCAACAGCTTGATAAACACGTTCCCATGGCAACGAATACACACAACAACAGAAGAACTGTTGGACACATAACTTTCTATGCATTCTGGGTCTTATCAAAGGAAAGTTTGCATGTCTGTCTGGGAATGCTTCTGGCCACCTAACATCGAATGGTTAAGATCATAAATGAACAATGCATTGGAATGGGAGTGGACACAAGCAGTAATGACCTAGATGAGCTGTGATTCACCTGGGGGCAGTTCTGAATTAATAATTATAAAACATGCAATAATTTATGGATGAAAAAGAAACTTGTCGCGTACATAACCTTGGTAGACGCAGACCTTACAGGATTACAAAAGATGTCAAAATCAATTTGCCTCTGCCTGAAGACATAGGCTAACACAATGCTTCATGTTCATCAGTGTTGTACCAGGATGGCAAGAAAGATTGCAGCAACTGTAGAAGGCATGCAAAATCGAGCAGGTAGACAAGAAATCAGTGTTGCAAAGTACAAAATGTTGTGAAGTTTTGTTTGTATCAGTAAATTACTGTGTGATTTATAAATTATTAATTTGGAGCTCCTCTGTGTGAATCACCCTGAACTATCTAAGCATTTGCCTGATGGGACTGAGGAAAACCATATAAACACGGGTTAGGATAGCGTTCAAATGAGATCCAAACTGGTCACTTCCCAAATACATCAGAAGTGTTACTGATTAAGCCAAATGGCTCAGTACTTACCTGTCATATGGATGGTTTCCCCACATATGTGCTGCACTATTAACAAGCCAAGTTATGTTCAGTGTGAAAGTGTAACGGAACATTGCCACAACAAACCAAGCATTTTTCCAAGTTTCACCCCACAGGTACACTGGAATTACAGTTGGTAAGATGAAGCACAAGATCGGCATTATGATCAGATAGTACCTGTAATGGAACAGTAACATATAACAGTAATGTTATCATCATGATTAACTGAATTTATGTCACTAATGAGAATGAACAGCACACTAACTCCCAGCTGTCACTATACCACAGAAGTTAGTTTTCAGGTAAGGTAATAGAATTTTCCCTGTGCTTAAGTAATAAAGAACTACAACATGGCTATGTACTGGGCAGCGGAGGTATAGATCCATGTGTTCTTGATCTTGGGACTAGTTGAAGGTGAGTGGGTGAGTGGTCAACTTCAGGCCTGGCTGAAAAGCCGATAGAGGCTCCAGCAGTTAAAAAATGTAACATATCTGACATATTCTTAGCCTAAACAGACTGCCTTGAATGAAAATCTTTTAAAGGAATGTGTTGGCAACCTAATTAATTATAAATGCTTAAATTATCTGCACCAGTAGCAATACTCACTTCTTCTGGAACATGACCACTGGATCAGCATCAAGGTCTGACATATCAAGTGTCTTTCCTTTTTCCTTCACATCAGGGTGCTTGCGTACAAGCAGCCAGCCAACATGAGAGAAGAAGAACCCACGCGTGGCATTGTGAGGATCAGCATCAGTTTCACTATATTTGTGGTGTACCCTATGATCACGAGCCCATTCATATATGTGATTCTGAAAAATAATACTCTGGTTATACTTCAAATTATACTTTTCTAAACCTAACACTACCCAATTCATATATCACATTTTATTTTTTATATAATAATAATAAACAATATGTCACTCTAAATGCAAAAGAAAAGGTAAAGTTGTCCTTGTGCTTAAACTAAGCACTACGTCATGAAGACACATGGGAGAGTCGATGTATAAATCCACGTTTACTTGACCTCGACACTAGTTGGAGGTGAGTGGTCAGTTTCACCCCCTACCATTTTACAGACAAGGAAAGAGCCCCCAATACCCACTGTATAGGAGGCTGGATGGGCCCCAGAGTCATTCTGGACACTGTGGAGAAGAGAAAATTCTTGACTCTACCAGGACTCAAACTCCGACCCATGGTTCATCCTGCCCACAGACAGTGGCTATACCGACTGCACTCACTGTAGTGAGATCAATTACATTTTGGGACAGACAGTACACCACAAAAGGTGCATTACCACTGGCACTAATAAGACATCTGTGATATCCCACAAATTACTAAGAAGGGCTTCCTGTCCCATGTATGTGCATTAAAATTATGTTGTTTGGGGGCCTACTGCAATCTCTTGGCCAGTTCAGTGGACAAGATATACTTCCATCAATTGTTTCAACATGTGACAAGGCCCACATTGTAATCAACAAGCCATAGGCCATGAAATCATGAACAACATCCTCCTGCATCACAGCACATGCTGGAAGCAGTCTGTGTTCTTACGGATGTGTTCCTCACACCACTGCAAAAAGTTCACATTCGTGCAATGAAGTTAAATTAAAAAAAAAAAAAATTGAAACATGAAATTTGAAAAGGTCATGCCATGCCTTCTACAGGGTTTCTAAGAAATTTTCAACCCTAGTATTGATTCCATCCAGTTTCCCTTCTATGGGCAATCAGAATTTTTATGCAGTTTCCCATAATCTTCACTCTAAAGCAGCACACAAGTAGCGTAGTTCGTTGAGGCACTATGCTACAAGCTGGAAGGTCGTGGGATCGAATCCTGATGAGGTGATTTTTTTTCAATTTACCTAATTCTTCCAGCCACACTATGGCCCTGAGATCAACTCAGCCTCTAAAGAAATGAGTACCAGGAATATTCCTGGGGGTAAAGGGAGGCTGGCACATAAGGCTGACAAACTCATCACCGTCAGTGAGCCGATGGTCTAGAAAATGTGGGAGCCTAACATCTGAGAATCCTATGAGCCTTCACGGCCTCTTACAGGGATAACTTTACTTTACTGATGTAAAAATATATATGAACTGATTCATTCCAGTATCATTGTTTTGTCATGAAAAGTCTGAATTCACATATCCTTCTGGGTGAATGCAAGTCAATAATCTCAGTGGTAAGTTTCATCCACTGTACAATACTCATTTCAATGTGAAACTCTTTATGTGGCATTTTGGTACAAGTAACACAACTGAATGAACTTTACCTACAGCAACAGAGGTGTGGGATTATGGTCAACAGACACAACACAGAAGTTCAATTCATGGCACCTGTTCAAATATTAACTTGGGGAGATAGTGAAAAAAAGTTGTGATGTGTATAGGCTACTGGCCTGTTGACTGTGACACATCTAAACAAGCACAATGAGAGACAATATAATATGTCCTTCCCACTTGAACAGCCAAAGGATTTTTGGCAGGACCTCAGACTACTTCACTTCATAAGCAAACACATCATAACACACACTGAATATATCAAGTCTCACATATGAAATTAAAGTTCTGTGCTTTCAGTAACAAAATTAATTTTTAGCCTTCTTTCCTTACTTACTTACTTACTTACTTACTTATGGAGCTGAGCCCTTCTTGAGGAACCGCCAAACCTGCAGCTATTCAAGAATTTCCCAGCATTTTATGGAACCCAAAGGTTCATTACCGTGTTCACAAGAGCCATCCACTGGTCCCTATCCTGAGCCAGATCAATCCAATCCATACCATCCCATCCTATCTCTCTAAGATCCATTTTAATATTGTTCACCCACCTACACCTTAGTCTTCCCAGTGGTCTCTTTCCTTCTGGCTTTCCCACCAATATCCTATATGCATTCCTCCTCTCCCCCTTCATGCTACATGCCCTGCCCACCTCATCTTCCTTGACTTGAACATTCTAACTATATTTGGAGAAGAGTACAAGTTATGAAGCTCCTCATTATGCATTTTTCTCCAACCTCCTGTCACTTCATCTCTCTTCAGTCCAAATATTCTCCTCAACACCCTCAGTCTACGTTCCTCCCTTAATGTCAGAGGCCATGTTTCACACCCATACAGAACCACAGGCAAAATTATAGTTTTGTATAGTATATTTTGAAAAAGTATAAATGGAAGCTTATGAGGTGTCATCATGATGCCTGCTTATATGTGAATCCCACCCTACCAACTTCTGAATGGCTGAACCAATCTTTATGAAACTTGGTATGGATATTATGGCATCTGAGCCCATCTCACCAGCATACTTCATAAATCCCTCCCATCTGTCTGTATGTCTGCATGTGTATCCCCCTACTGTTGCTAGGCAATGTGTTGGTTGAAACATTACCACACCAACAAATACACATGCAACAACAGAACTGTTGGACATATTGTCTTCTGTGTGGTCTGTTTTGTATCAAAGGAATGTAGGCAATTAATTATTGTCAGAGCTTCCTGTCATATGCACCAGATATGCAACGATAATAATATTCAGGGTACTGGGCATTCTGATGGTCTTACAGGCATCTGTCACCCCAGTAAGGATACTATAATTACAAGGGAAAGTAAGTGGTTAACTTCCCCCACCAAAACACTTCCACATGTATGCAATATTACTGCAACTCTGTTACCATTTTCAAATCTGGAAATCCTCTCAGCTTTCTAAGCTGCCAAATTTCAAGGATCAATTTTGTGTACTCTATTATTTTTCACTGTTTAGTCAATTTTATGGTTTCAACACAACTGCTAAGTATTAATAACAGGTCTGGGGAATCTTAAACTTTAGTGCTATGCTTTTATTTTTGATACTGCAATTGGGAGGACTTTACATAATACAGATACACAAAAATATCCAAAACCATTTTCCTACCTGAAACACATTTGGGAAGTATTACAGTTTTTTCAACTTTCAGACATTAGGCACAGACCACAAAATCCATTGGGCATGTGTTAACACTGAAGACAAATTTAATTGAAAACAGAATAGCAATGATTTCTTGATAATGTAAATCACATGCTTCACTGTTTTCTAACAAGTGCAAAACAAGGGCAATCACTTCAAGCCAGTTCAATCAAATTCATATACGTATATCACACTTTGCTATGGTTTTTATTTCTTTATATGTCTCCTTCATTGCTCTTAGGGAGGCCAAGGCCCGACATCAGGCTGTTGCGCCATAGAAGAAGAGGAAGAAGGATATCCCACTTTTCTAAGATTTTTTTTAATTAATCCCCCAAACTACTTATAGTTGTGTCTTCCCTTCTGACTTTCCAACCAAAATTTGGTATACAATTCAGGTTCCATCCTAGAACATTTCATGCCCTGCCCATTTCATTTTCACAATAGATACCTTAGCAATATTAAAGGGAGAGTACAGGTTGTGAAGCATTATGCCATGTTCTAAATTCTTCAGTTACTTACCTGAAATGCTAGGGTATTGAATATCATAAGAATAACTCTCAAGGGCCATTTCGCTTTGTAAGCACGGTGTGCCCATAGTCGATGTGCCCCAGCTGTGACACCAAAACCACCAGCAATGTAGAGAAGGGTTGCTGTAAACAGAAAGTATTTCACTATAACAGCAATCAAAAATATACTAACAAATTGGTTTCCATCACTCACTTTACAATATTCCTGAAAAACAAACCAAATTGAACTGAAGCAATATATCAAACAAAATTTCCTACAGTACATACCAAAGACTGCTGTGAGTATTTTAGCTGATGCCAGCATCAGGTAAGCCCCATAAACTGCAGCCAGATGCAAATATACAAACAGGATAATATTTCTCCACACAAGTTTTCTCCTGTACTTTTCACGTGGTTTGGCATTGTCATTTTTTTTTTCAACTGATGGTGCTACTACAGTTTCAATGTCGTTTTCAAACAAAACTCCTGTAGGAGAAGTTGTTATATTTGGAGCCATGTCAGAAGGGGCAACAACCAATCTGGAAATGAGATGAGCATGGTTGAATGAACACTGGATAACATACATACATATATATATATATATATAAAATGATGACTAATGTTAGGTAAGTACAATGATATTGCACTGATATAGTTACTGTGATAAACATGTAATTTCATTTCTAACATTATAATATCCATACAAAAAACATAAGCAAATTTATTAATAAAGACAATAGCAAAATTATGATTCCACTAAAAACACATATCATGGATAATGGTTTAATGCACTTTCAAAACATCACATTTTTGTTGGGGGGAAGTAAAGCTGTTTCTATCAGGCCTTGTAGCAAAAATTAATTGTTGAATTAAAATTAGGTTTCGGTTACCATACTACAACATCATAGTAAATCTAGGGCTTCAGTGACAGCTGGCAGTATCATGTACCGGAAAGTCTTCCTCGTGACAGGTTTCCGGTAACCTATACAGAATCAATTTACGTTTACGATGTCAACAGAACACATCAGTGGTTTGAAAGATGTTACACGTCAGTTCTTCGTGAAACTAAAACGTGATAAAACACGTCGTCTAACCTTGAAGTTTGTATAGTATTAAAATGATTCGATTATATTTTTGAAATGTTCATATTTCAAAACGTTCGTTTTCGGCCAAAATATTGTACGCACACACCAGTTTCAAACAACTCGAACGACACGAACTAACCCACTTCTCTCTACTGTACTACATTACACTGGGTTTAAAATCTCCCCAATATCGATCTTCTCGTCTGTGACGCAATACGGTTGGGCAGGACAAAATCAGGTGATGCGCTCGCCTGATCCTTGTAACCAGTCACGTAGCTCCGCGCCAAACAACGTGGCTCATAAAACCAAATTTGACATTACAACCTTCTACAACAGCGCATAGGGTTAGGTTCTTTAAATTTGGTTTCCTTTCAGACTGCGAGCATTACATGTGGATCAGCTTCCATACTGTTTTCGATTCTGTAATATGAACTTTTAAAGTGGAATAAACCGTATCAGCGTATGGCCCAGGTTCGATCCCAAGCTGAGGTTTTTTGAAAATTATACCTCTTATGCCGTAATAGGCGTAACATTGACCATACAACCTGATCCTTATAACCAATCAAGATGCCCCGTACAAAATAAGAAATAAATTTAACATTAACCTTATATTCCCAAGTCAAGGTCACATTGCGACTGACGATCGGTCAGTCAGTCAGTAATTCTTGGTGTCGACCCCCATCTGGGGTTCATGACCAGATATTTATTACTATTCGACAGTTCCGATCTTGCTTTTGTGAGGCACCCTCTCTGACGAGAGGACGGATCTGTCGTTTGTCAGAGTCTGCAGTAGTTAGTCATTTGTCATAATGTAAAGGATATTTACAATTTACATGTTAAACATGTTAATAAATGTATATAAAATATATACAGGGCCTCTGTCAGTCCGGGCGCAGTACAGCAGATTATGCCCTCTTTCTAGTAGTTTCCGCTACAGCGGCAGTCTAGTCACTTGAACGGTCATATGCTTGACCGCCGTCAAGTTTAAGCCTCTTATACATACATACTTTCTATGTCGAACTTCTCCTTGCTCAGTATTGCGAACATTTTCGTTATCATGACATTTGTATGACTTCAGCTTGTTGCCTGCATAACTTCGTTATACTCGTATAATCATATACGTACGGAATTTTGGAATCCATGTGTAAATCTCGAACCGGTGTGTGCCTTGGAAAATTGCCCAATGGCGCGGAGAACCTTGTTTTGCAGGCGCCGCAATACTGACTGGGTCACCCTACTGTCTTCCTTATAACCCCTTTGCATGGATACTGTCCTCGTTATAGCCTCGGCACGGACGTCATGGAAACACCGCTTTCAACAATTCTTCTGTTGCGTGTATATTTGCTACAGAGGGGACGTGTTTACAGAGTCGTTGTCTAGCAACAGACGTCCCCTCTGTTTTCCACTATTCCGGCCAGCACGCGCCATGTTACAATATATTTAATAATTAAAAATCGCGTTTTTTATATAAACAATAGAAAAGAACATGGATCAAAGGCAAAATTAAACAATATGTCAACAATTCAATTAAACGTAATTCCCATATTCTTGCTTGTTATATTCTTTTCATTACATAAGAGAATATTTCAGATCCCCTAAGACAGGGGCCTGGGCCAAATGACCTTGCTGGCCCCCCATATGAACCTGGTTGAGGTTCATCTTCGCACCTTCCTGACAGGAGAGTACTATTGTAGAAAGGAAAGTTACAGTGTGCCTACTTAATTACGCAACATGGAATGAAGCCGTATAGGGAAATAGAGGCCGCGCCATAGCTCAAGCGGTTAGTCGCTGGCTTCCCACCGCGGCAGCCCGGGTTCGATCCCGGGTATGGTCGAGTGGGATTTGTGGTGGATAAAGTGGCGCTGGGACAGGTTTTCACAGAGTACTTCGGTTTCCCCTGCCAATCTTCATTCCACCAATTGCTCCACAATCACCCTCACCTATCATCTGGGGCTGGTACAATAGACCAGAAGTGGCCGCAGTACAAGGGACTTAGTCCCACCCCACTAGGAATAAAAAGAGGGAAGTAGAGGTGTAGATCCACTACCCTTGACCTCTGCATTATGTAGAAGTGAGTGACCAGCTTCGTGCTCCGGCCACTTTGCCCCATGGGAGAAAGCCCCCGGTACCCACCGCATAAGAGGCTGGGTGGGCTCCAGAAGGGGTCTGGACGCTGTGGAGTACAAAAACATCTGCCCTTGCAAGGAGTCGTACGCCCATTACTAGGCCGTCCAGCCTAAAGCCCACTCGCTATACCGACTGAGCTGATTACCTTCTTATAAAACCCAGGAAAAACAGATTTTATGTGACTGACGTCTATGGTTGAATGAAGCGTCCAGCAATTAGTAAAACGTAAGTAATGTATATTGCAAAATGGTAATGATTTTGAATAATAGCACTACTCGTGCTCATTCACAGCACAAAAATATGTAGCAGCTCCAATAAAAGCCGTTCTTCTCAAATGTACCTACATCTTGGAATGATGTGTTTGATAAATTTTGACTTGCACAAGTGTCGGTCACAGTAGCAGCGCGGTCTAAGGCATGAACGGTCTTCGGTCGCTGGGATCGTTGGTTTGAATCCCACTCAGGGCATCGATGTTTGGTGCGTGTATGCGTTTATTCTGTGTTTAGGTAGAGGCCTTGAGACTAGCTGATCACTCGTCCAAAGAGCCCTACCGTCAGCCCTGAATGGGATTAAAGAGCCATCGAAAAAAAAAAACTTGCACAAATGGTTGAGTTTTTAGTTTCAAAATGCAAATTACTATTCTAATGCCAAAAATCCAGACTCAACACGATCCTGAGCTAGTTTCATCCACCCAAATCCTGTTTATTTTTCTTAAGACCGCTCTTCTTCTTGGTCGTCCAAGTGGATGTTTTCCATAAGGTTTCTCCACCGACAATTTGTGTGTGTATTCCTTCTCTCCCAAGAGAGTAACAGGTAAACGCTATGCCAGGTACCTTCCACAAAACAACAGAATATGCAAACTCAGTGCTTCCACAAACAACCGAAATCTCCAAACACAAATATAGAATAGACAAAGACAACATAGATAAACAGATAGACAGCATTCTTCTCCCCCCTCCTATATGGTTCTAATGGCGTAACTTCATACAGTACTGGATACAGTGGATTTTCTATGACTCAGAAATTGACTGAATCCAACTTTTCTGGTTTCCACAAGTCTTCTAAACAACATATAACAAAGACACAATTTCCCTCCGTACACAATGTTTTATGCTTAATTCTACGAACACGGGACTGCCGAAGTTTGCCGAATACATACTAGCGGTATTTAAACTTCTTAGATGTCAATTTGACATCAAATACAGATTTTACACAAACATTCAAAATTAAAGTGTATGATTTGTAGTTCTCACAGCGGTATTTATAAAGAGTTCTATCTACTGGGATATAACGTTGCGTAGTCCGTTGAAAGTCAACCGACGTTTCGGAGGAACATGTCACCCCCGTCTCCAGAGTCGAAGCATAAGGCAAGCACGAAACCGCGTGAAGCGGGTGGCAAATAGAGCGACGATAATACACACCTGAACCCCCAGGGTTTGACCGTGCGAGGTACAAATATTTTAATTTTCGGCATATTTTATACGTTGTTTGCATAAGGCACCCACTATGGCGAGATCGTATCTTACAGTCTGCTCATCAGCCTGTGTGTCCTTATATTTAATCTTCGAAACTGCAGAGCTGATATTGATGACATTTGGTAGTAATGGGGTGTGCCGTGAATTTGTTTGGATCCCTGTTGGTTCCTACTTTTCATTGAATCTGATTTTAAGTGGGGGGGGGGGGGAAAGCCTCATAAAATTTTTTACCAGCATAGAAAAACGTGATTGGCTCTGCAATGAATATCATAGAGAGATATGTAAAATTTGGCAGAACGCTTTTAGAACGCATACCTCTTGGAAATTACATAATGCATTTTGAAGTACTTCGCTTCTCTTGCTACGGTACGTCATGAAGATTCAGTATTGTCGTATAAAATTGATATTAGATGACCTAAAATATCTGTGGGGATTCCTCTCCCTTTCATTCTCGCTTGCATCTTTTTCATTATTCACCCATTGTTTCGCAATTCAGATGCGTACCTGCAACCAAATTATTTCCAATAACCTCTACATGGGGATCGCACAATGCTGTTAACGTTCTCTGTTACCAGTTATATGTTAAGGACAAATGTATATAAATTCAATTAAACGCCGGTTTCTTTGCAGAGAAATAAAGCGCTAAGTATGGCTTCTCATGCGTCGTTTCTATGGTTGTCTCTTCTTCCAGAAGAAGACATCTACGTCCTTGCGGAATTCTTATTGTAAATTACGTAAAATGAACACATTCTGTTCATTTGGCTAATGAACAATTAAATAGGCATATCAAAACGTAGTGGGGTTGATTAGTAGAGCAAAAGTCCAATCAACTAATTGGCGATTAGTGACTAATTCAAAATCGACATAGCTATTAGCGAATAATTCAAAATCGAAACCTTAAAAGTAAATTTACACTTAAATTCTGGTCGTGATATTTTTTCTTTAGATATGTATCACCAATAATTATTTATTCAATTTCGTATATGAATTTCCGTTCCATCAGACGAAATAATTAAACAGACACGTATTTGTAGCTATAAACCTCGTTGACGTGAAGAGCACCGCGGGAAAGAAGTATATGTAGGAGCATAATTCTCTGTAGACAACAAGCGTTACACCGGGAGTCACGATAAAAATTGGACCGAAACTTGTGCGTAGCAACCTTCTTTCACAACTGGAGGAGGGGGCACCACAACCGGAAAGAATTGTTTGATGTCATATTTCAGTGCTGAAGTTGCGGCTACATTTCGCTTCAATGCAAGACTTTTACCAGGTACTGCGCGTACTTTTTTCCTTCTCAAAAGGAAGTGAAAGTATACGATAGAATTTCACTTCCCATGTTCACAAGCTAAGCAGCAATTCTCGCATTTTATTATTTCCTTTTATAAGAATCTAACTTTAATATAAGGTTCTGTGGAAATTCACCCGGTTAAACAGCGATCCCGCCACGACGCTACAACCGTGTAATCACTCAGCATCGTCAACTCATACACAAAAAAATATGTAAGCAAGAAAATGCCTTAAATGATGTGACGAGGAATGTATTAAAGCAAAGATTGTCCTGCTGATGATATGCGAACAAAGATTGTCAATATCCGGAAAACTGCTTTCCGTTAAAGGTTTCCGGATAACAGGGTATCAGTGACGCTATGTGACTTACTACTATTGTACATTTCTTTTAGACAATACAGACGGCAGAATATATATGAATTTCGATAGATAATAACTGATATTTCCCCCAAAATATAGCTTCCACATGCAGCACAAATAAACACAAAATGACATTTCAATTAAAATATTCCCAGGATTTTATGTAACCTGTAGGTTCTTCGCTGGGTTCGCCCGCCACTCGCCCATTTCCCGAATCGGATAACTCGAGCCTATAAACTACCTTATTTCTTTAAGATCAATAATAATAATAATAATAATAATAATAATAAATAATCCTACTATGCCTACGTCTTCCGCGTGGCAGTCTTTCTTCCAGTTTCCCTACCAAAACCGTGTGTCCATTCCTCGTTACTCCCATGCATGCTACATGCCCAGACACATGCCATCCTTCGTGATCTGATCCGAATATTTGGCGAGGAATACAAATCTGAAGTTCCTCATTGTGCAGTTTTCTTCAGCGTCTTATATTAGCTTTGTATAAGTACAACAGGCAAACACGATTTAAATATGCCTAGTTTACCATAAATGACACTGACAATACAGAGAAACGATTCAGACTCACCTTTTAAATACACACTACACAGATGTACCACTAGTTTAATAACATTAAAACCACTACTTCCAATATAATCCCCTTCGTTTCACCGATTCGAAAACGCTCTGTTAATGAAGTAAGCACGAAATATTTCGGTGTTCGTTTTATATGACGGGTAGCCTACTGGCCGGTTAGGCTCTCACGTGTTCATCGCGCGATACCAATCCCAGAGTCATGTGACCTGCCGAAGACCCCCTCCTCAGCCCTCTCGCTCGTGTGGCGTGATCCGCGAACCACACCGGCCGTAAGGTTCAGTTTCGCGTGCCGAGCCCTATACCTTTCCAGAAGAGATTGTACGAGGTCGTCTGTTCGTATAGCCCGCAAGAATACTGTACCTTCCAGTAAAGACTTCAATTATTACGTTGGCAGAACTCACCACACGTTCTACACCGAACTTTGACCTCACCGTAAGCAATTTCGGTTGAGCAGAGAGAGAATACCAATGTGTATATACATTAATTTATTATACAATGAAACTGTATAACCGGACCCTTCTTTTTCTTAAAGTACGCAACAGTACGTCGTATCCTCACAGTTTTTTTTTCAGTGAACCAAATATTGCAAATTTGTTTTAAACGTCTGGGAATAACTGAGGTTCAACTCGACCTATTTATTTTAAACAACTAACTCTGTAGACCCCAAAGGCTCAACACCACTAACATTAAAGCTCGCAATTAGGCACTGGGTTGTTCTCACCAACATTTTGTATGCATTCTTTGGCTTCCCCATAGGAACTATATGTCTGTCCCAACACAGTCTGCTATTTCACAGTGTGAAGGTCTTGGGCTTAAGCACCATGCCCTGAAGACTTATACGGGAATAGAGGTGCAGCTCCACGCATTCTTCACTTCGACCCTAGATGTAGGTGAGTCAAAATTTCACATCCCAATTGTAACAGCAGAGGCGGTCTGAGCGACCTGTATGATGAAAATATCACGATATACCCTACATTGTCTTTCACAGATCCTAATGTTTTCCACACCAGATCGCTCTAAGGCGCTACCAATCAACTCTCTTCCATCAGTCACTACACATGTATGGGCCCATATTATAGTATCTGGCGATTTTTATTTTAATTTAAGGTCGTAATTTTCCTTATTCTGAATGTATTGCATTGTGATTCAAGCGCTGTTCTTCTATTGTCTACTTTTAATGCTAATTAGTTGTTAAAATCTTAAACCACGAACTTCCTGGTGTCACATTTGAGCACCAGCATCTTTTGTTTTTGTTCCACAAATCAAAGGTTTTCTCCTCCCTCTGTGTAGAGGTGAGTTTTGTCCTCCTTTTGTAGGTGCAGCCATTAAATATGTGAAGAATACGTGTATGTTGTAAAATTTAAGGAAAAATATCCATAAGGTCACACATTATTATCATTTGATAGACGGTTCTGAAATTACCTGGATATTAATGAGCACTGTAGGACACTTTTTGTAACAAACAAAAATTATAATATTTTTATGCCTACACGTACAGCAGAAGAGAAGATGTAAAAATGGTTGTAACAAGACACTGATATACTACATTGCTTCCAACATTAAATTGTACTTGAGAGCGTAGCCGATATAGCGACTGGTAACGGGCTGGACGACGGAGGGTTCGTAGTTCGAGTCTCAGCATAGTCAAGAATTTTTCTTTTCCATGTCGTCCATACCGGCTCTGGAGTCCACCCAACCTCCTACCCAATGGGTACCGGAAGCTCCTTCCCCGGGGGTAAAGGAGCCGGGGCGTGAAACTTTCCACTCACCTACAGCTAGTACCGAGGTCAAGAAAATGTGGATCTATACATACTACGCCTTCATGGCGTAGTGCTTAATTAGTTAAGCACAGGGACAACTTTACCTTACCTTCACTTGTTCTTGCAAATTTAAGTACTGGAACGGCGCCCTTTCCGTTACATCAGTACGGTAGTGGGTTGTTCACATCTTCAGGATACACTTTAGCAAAGAGGCCCGCGTGCACACCCATGCACACACGCACACACGCACACACACTCACAGTTATCTGAAATGAATGCTGGAACTTCAGTTCACACGGTTCGTTCAGTTTTTAATTTGGTTTCCGAAAAAGAAATAGACTTTCAGTGAGCCTTCTCAAAAGCTCCCTTTCCAAAGCTTTCCGCCGCAGGTATTGAAGTTAAGTGATTTTAGATTATTCTATACTATCAGGTAACTGAGTTTTGGTCTACCTTGGCCTCGTCCCCCTTACCGTTTGCCAAAACTTAATATTTTTGCAGATTTACCATAATCCATTCTGCGTAGATATCAGACCCATCTCAGTAATATTCACATCATAATCTTTATATATCAGTAATTAATATTGTCAGGATTTAAAGTGACTATAGACGGATTATGGATTGATGAATAGATTTATTGGTCAGTTACAGGTCGGAAATCCTAATAACTAAACAAATATGAGTATTTCTGCTTTCCACAGTACAAATCACTCAACGCTCTCTTCTCAGTTTGCCTTCATCAGTCTTTTTCAATAACAGCTCTCAACAATGGCTATTCCTCTGCAATGTTTTCACTAGACATTTCCTGCTAACGAATCATAACAATTGTGATTATTTAGCTTCGTGGTCACGTCGTTGCCCGCTGGTTAACAGTCCACACCTGAACTCTAGCGCCATTTGTCTTCAAGATAACTGCTTTGGATGGACCACGCACAAAACACAGCCCCTCTATTGTTGTAAGGCGTGTTTACCTGACCACATAGAAAACGCCGTTCTTCTATTGTTGCTTAAGTTATCCAGCAACGGCCACTGTTTAATGAGTCACTACTGAGTAACCGCCCTCTATGCCAAAATATATTTACGAGTAATTATTGTATCGTCTTCTTCATTGGCTATTTTCTCTCTTTCATCCGCAAATTGTCCTCAAGGATATTCTTTCAGGACGAAAGGATTACTTTCGTAATCCTTCTGCACAAGTGACAGGACTGACCACATGCCACGAGCGAACAAACATTTAGTCTCAGTCTAAATATATTACAACAATTAAGAAATTCTTCATTATTATATGTGAGGTACAACAGGAAAATTGAAGAATTGCTCCAGAGTTTTAGTGGTTTCGTTTCATCGTGGGGCGTCACTGGTTAGCAGCTGGAGGAAACAGTGTGCAGAGATGGACGGTTCGCTGTGAATCTTGTACTGAACAAACAAGCACAGTCCTCTGTGTGAGATTTCGGGATCTCAAGACTGTGACTACGAAATGTAATGTCTTCTAGAATGTGACGCCATATAATATGGTATAAGTTTACCGATATTTCGGAAGAACGTACTGCCTCCATTTTCAATGTCGACGAGTAAACCAAACAAGCAGGGAGGAAATGCTCTGCAAAGAAACGTCAATATACTTTGACCAGACTACAGGGCTTCACATCCCAAAATATACCCGTAGTACTTTTCAGTGGTCTCCTAGCTTGGGAGTTGGCAGTAAGCTTTAATATTTTACGGAATTTACACAAAGCAGGTCATCCAATACTGGCAGGATAATGAAGTCTGGGACCCTGCGACAGGCTGAGAATTACCTCTGGTGGGGACAAAATATATATATATAAAGATAATTCTGTTGGAAAAACCTCTTGGAAGACCAAGAAGGACATGGGATGATAACTTTAAGATGGATTTTTATGAAATTATTAGTGGAACTGTGGTGGATCTTGGTACTAGAGACTTGCGGATTCCGCTGGGAGAGACCTGGTTTTGTTTTCCGATTTTAGCACTTAATATTTAACACTGAGTTTTTTTACTGTGTTTATAATTATATTTGTATGGATCATACAGCGAGTCCATGGACATGAATACATCTGAGTTATGTATGAATCCCTACCGATGCGGCACGGTAGCTGTTAATGCAATGGAGATACGTATATTAAAAGCGTGCCCAAATATTTTGTTGGATTTGAAGCTCTCCCAGCGGTGAATGCGAATGTGAAGAGAACAATTTTCTTAGATACAGTGCCGTATAGTCCCGTGGAAGTTCATCGACGTTTCGGAGAACCGTATTGCTTCTATCTTCAATTTCGAATAGTAAGCCAATAAAGAAATTGGCTGAAAGCAGAGTATGTTTATTGCTTTAATTACTTGTCGACCCTGAAGGTAGGAACAATACATTCGTCCGAAACGTCGGTGGGCTTCTGTCGGACTTCACGGAATTATTTACCAGAAGGCAGTACTCCTCACATCTACAAACTTTTAAAGTGAGTATTACAAATATGATGATGTATTATGTCCGTCGTATTTCTGGTATCGGAGATTTCCGGTCCCCAGAAGTATTCAAAGATTCAGATTACTACGTTGCTTCGTTATTTTGAAGCCTTTTAATCTGATTTGTTAAATATTATTGTGTTGGATAGAATATTTTTTTCTGAAATGTAAAATGTATACAAAGCATGAAATATTTTATAATAAGAGAGTGAGAAGACCACAATGACATAATTCTAAAAATCTAGAGTAATGCTCGAAACTGTAGAGTCTGACAGTAATAAATGTATGCAATGTCAGTTTGGCTGTGAAAGATCCAGTACTGAAAGAGGATAAGATAGTGTTGTAGAATTTATGGGCATGAAAATTATTTCAAGGGCAGATAAATATGAGAAACACATTAGATGCAGATTAGGGTCTGTGTAAACCGCATTTCAAATTTGAGACCCAGCAGTAGATTAGGGGGAAAGTACGTATATGCTCTGACACATAGTGGATGCACAGTTATTCACATACTTTTACAATTTACAAATTATTTGCAATTTTCTCGGGCTTCATAAGTTATTGCACTAATAGTAAGTTAACTTGCAAATAGCCCAACAATTATCAAGATAGTGTTGCTACTCACTCACTCATGATCTCATGAAATAATACCTCGAGGCGTATTCTTGCGACGTCACTTTATTACTCAACGACGTAACTACAATTCAAGCAACCATAACACAAAATGTTGAACAAGTCGTTTCACAGTCGGTCCTTTCGTGTTAACAACTGTCACTAGAATGGCCAAAAGAGAGAGAGAGAGTTACTTTACGACTTTACGACTTGACCCCAAGAATGTCAAAAAAGTCGAAGTCACATTGCGACTGACGGTCAGTCAGTC